TCCTCTTTAGTTAAAGGTTTTGATGTGGGAATTTGTTCCAAATCCCAAAATGATTTAACTAATTCCTCCGTGTTTACGTTTAGCGTATTGACTGAAACCTGCTTACGGTTTGGAAATTCAAAATGTGTAGTTCCAGCAATTATCCATCCTAACTTAGAACAACATGCAAATGGAAGATTTTTGCCCCTTTTAATTACCTCGCCATTTATTAAAGTAAGGAATACATTAACTCCAAGTAAAATATCAATTTCTCCCGATTCATGAAATGTAGGATCTGCTAAAGTTAAATCTTCGAAACTTTCATATAAATTCAAAGGTAATGTTACACTTGGAATGTTTCCTGTAATTTTGTCTATTATGTAAGCGGACGTTGAAATTCTGTAATTAGTATTAAAATGAGGTGTAAACAACAAGTCAACTTCTCCAGTAGTAGTTGTATTGAAAGTACCTAAGCATGACACTAATATCTTCGAATCCTTTATGCTCAATCCTAAATTGATAGCTGTTTTCCGACGAATGAATGATTTTTCACTACCTGAATCTAGTAAACATCTACAATTTATGAATTCCTGGTTTGAGTTTTGAACCTTAATTAAAGCAGTACACAAAAGTACATGACTATGTTTACCATTAGCTTGAGCTCCAAAATGTTGATTTTCATAGTTGTTTGCACAAACAGTTGGAGAAACCTCACTCAAGTTGTTTTCTGGTTTAATTTGCGATTTCGGAACAAACACTTGTGTGCTTCTGGTGAAGGGAAATCTAGATGCATTTTTTGGTTTGAAATTATTTTCTAAATGCAAAATGCTATGATGATGCTTAAAACAATGCTTGCAGGTGTTGCACTCTTACACATTTTAACTTTATGGACATTAGACAACAAAGCAATTAAAACAAAGTTTATTAGTCTTAACAAACTCTATTCAGTTTTGCACTGGTAAATTTAAAAAATTAGAACACCTGTATAAAAATGATCTTCTTTACAAAATAAGCAGGTAGAATTAGAAATCAGAGAAGTAACCCTATTATACACTGATTTATCTGATTTATGCGTTTTACTAACTAAAGGTTTACTGTTCTGTAATGTTCTAGCGTAATTCTTCAAAAATTCTATCAAGTCATTCAACTTTGGTATTTCATCTTTTTTTAATTGACGCTCCCACCACAACTTTGTCGAAACGTCAAGTTTTTGCAAAATAATATACAACAACAAAGTATCACTAAAATTATCTATCCTTTGATCTAATATTTCCAATGAGCGAGTTATTTCGTTTACGTTATCTACTAAACTTAATATTGATGATGCAGATTCCTTTTGTATTTGTGAAACGTTAAGAATTCTTTTAATAAAAGCAAATATCTGTTCTCTCTTATTAGAAAATCTCTCTTCTAGTAAATTCCAAGCAATACTGAAATTTTGATCAGCTATGGGAATTGACTGAATAATGCGATAAGCATCATTTTTCAAATAACTCTTTAAATATTGTAATTTTTGAGCTCCAGATAGATTTGGATTGTTGCGAACACTAGCGTTAAATAAATCTTTAAATGTTATCCATTCAGTTAAATTTCCGCTAAATGTGGGTAAAGATAATTTCGGTAACTTTAAACTTTCAGAGATTGATTCAGGTATGACAGTTTTGTCACCATTTGCATTTACGATATTGTAAATCTTTAAATTACGAATAATTTTTAAGTGAACCTCCTCAATTTTCTCTAAAATCGACTGTTCTTCCTCAACGAAAGTGTCTATTTTTTCATCATCACAATTTGTATAAATTTCTCTAAATAGAGATTTAAAATCTTCCTTAAAGATTTTACATTTTTCTAAGATTAATTCAGCTTCAGCATTATCTAAGTTATCATAATCTATTCTCTCAATGAATTTAGTTAACTGTGTTTTCAAAATTTTCTTTCGCTTTTTTTCTATATTTGACATTTTGAAAATATTCTAAATTCTCGATTTTACTAATACTTTAAACACAACAATAGTAGCAATAAGGAAATCTCAAATGCAATTAAAATGCATTAACTATTTCACTTACCTCGAACACTGTATCCATTCCGTAAGTCTTGAGAATTCTAAACCGAAATTGCATTATCAACTCCATTACGGACACGTAGAATTCTTATTCACAAGCGCGGGTTTTTCTCGAAGCTCCGGCGTATGATGACCAAATAATGTAGCGAAGCGGTATCTTAACTTTAAATTAATAAACCTAAGAATACATCACTGCGAGTGGACTGTAAATTTAACCTTTATTCGCGGTTTGAACTTTCGAACACAACACAGCACAAAGTAAAATGACAGAGTTACAATTAGCAGTTTTAAGAATGCAAGAACAAAATGCGAACTACGCATACAATCTGCGCATTGCGAAATTATATCTAACAGACAGGCAGAGAGCTCTGGTGGCCGAAACAAACACCGTACGGTGGGACACATTTTTAGAGTGCGAGACTGGGTATCGGAAATTTTAAAGATATGCTAGTTTTAAAATTATTTTGCGATATTGCTGAACTGAATTCTAAGTTAAGTGCGAAGAACAGGATATTTAATAAATAAAGGCAGAACACAAAACGGTAAAAAAAAAAAATGCCCCTTTGTGTGTAATGTAAAATCAGAAAGCCTTCAGATTTTTTTTTTTTTTTTTAAAGAGCACGAAGAATTTATTTTATAATTTGTAAAAATTTCAGAAGTTTTTGACTGATACATTATGAGATATGAAATTTTAAAATAATGGATGTTAGAAGTGTAAATATTCGAACAATTTTCAAAAATTATCCTATATGTTTAAAAAAATAAGTAAATAAATAAATAAATAAACAAAAATCATTAAAGAATTTTTTTCTCTTCTGCTCCATGTGACAGAGAAAACAATAAAAAATAAAATTCTGATATTTTCAGTTTGTTAAACAGAAATATGCATGAAAAATCATTTCAATATTAAAATTAAAGAAATTGCAGTATCATATTGGCCTGCCATCCACAAGCAATTTACGTACAAAATTTGAAGTTTATACTTTATCAAGAAGCTGTTTAAAAATCGATGACAAGCTTTTAATCATATCACCATCAGTGAGCTAAATAAAAGCTTAGATATAAATAATATTAAAAACAATAAAGGATAACCTTTTCAGAAACTATTACAAAATTTCCAGTAATACCTGTAGCAACAGTAAACAACATTAAAAAAGCCTAAACAGCATCAGAAATCAGTTAATTCAATTCATGTTTGTGGCATGATAGTTTACAGTGGCTTATGAGTAAATAGAGGGAAGATGGCAGCCTAAAGATGAAACTCCTTCGTGTCCTCTTTTCTTCCTCTCAATAGCGGCAACTGTGCGAAAAAGTGTTGCATGTGTATGGGGCTTAAATGATGGTTAGCCATATTCATGCATATTTTGTTTCGTATTCTACTTACTGGCGATAGCACTTCATAGCTGCCTTACTGGGAGATTTCCAGTTTTTCATTACATCTCCTGATTTCTAATTTTAACTTTTTACTAAGGAAAACTAGAGTGATAAATGTTTTCCAGCAATAAATGCTATTTACTGAATTAATTAAACTTAAATTGAACAAATTTCATCTCCTTTTTTTCTTATTAAATTTTTTTACCTAAATTTCTTTAATATATTTGGTAGAACTTTTTATGAAGTTTCACCCAATGTTTAATAATTTCATATATTTGGATTTAATTTAGTTTTATTTTAGTAAATCATGCATTAAGTTTATCCATAGAACAGTATGTACATGAATTACAAATCTTAATTTCATCATATTTAAATGTACTTTAATAATAATAATAATAATAATAAAAAACTTATCTCCTCAACTCAGGATTTTGTTAACATAAAAATGTAAAAAAAAATTACAAATAAGCCAAACAGCATAAAATTGAAAATACTTCATCAAATATTAAAATATTTTAAATAAGAATCATATAATTAGTTGTATAACATAAATCATGCATTATAAAATGAAATTAAGACAAATTAGAGTTCCGTATGTATTAGTCACAGTTTTGAACTTTTCCTTAATTCTAGCTGAAGTTTATTGCATAGTAGGGAACCATATTATGCAATAAACATATAGCCTTTCTCATCACACCATTGAGAGTTTTCATAAAACATTCTACCTCAAATTATGAATTTTTATTACAGAAAATATATGCTTAATTAATTTATTATGTAATATATTTAGAGAAATAAAGTCTCCAACATCCTTCCCTAAGTACTTTGATTATAATTATGATACAGTTTTGAACGTTTCCTTAATTCTAGCTGAAGTTTATTGCATAGTAGGGAACCATATTAATCTTTCTCATCACACCATTGAGAGTTTTCATTAAACATTCTACCTCAAATTATGAAATTTTGTAACAGAAAATATATGCTAAATTAATTTATTATGTAATATATTTAGAGAAATAAAGTCTCCAACATCCCTCCCTAAATACTTTGATTATAATTATGGATATGTGGATATCAGCTGGAAAAGTAGTTTTTAAAATAAAATCGATATTTAAATACTAGGAAGTCCTTTGATATTTACATACAATAAACACAATTTATTAAAATAAAAGGGACATTAGTATATACTCACTGAATTATTTTGCATATAAGACTATACATTTACATACACAACAATAGGAACTTTTTAAAACATGATTTAAAACTAAATATGGAATATCAGTTTTGTAAAATCTTTTGATACCAATTTATATTGATAATACATAAGTCATTAAGATGAAAGATGAAGCATTTTCATCTAACTGTATCAACAAAACTTCTACTTTTTACATATAATAAGAGAGAGTCATATCAATTTATTTTTAGCTATAATTATTAAAACTGTTTCAAAACAATAGAAATCAAATGAAAGTATTGGCAGTATTAAATAATTTAACTCTTTTAAATATATATCAATGCATGTAAATAATTTTGATAAGAGCCTGAATTAAAACTTAAAATATTCCTAAAAAAATCACAATTTCAGTCAATTTTGTAAATTACTTTAATAAAAAATATAAATATACAGCAATAGTAACACAAAATGCAAAAATAAAACTGCATAATAAATATGTCTTGTCATTTATTCTGACAGATATGTATTTAAATTAAATAATTGGCAACATGGGGAAAAAAAAAGGTTTTGTGAGAGATTTCAGAAATTTTCACTTTCCCAGTCAGTCAGATCAATTGTTGGAACGAACTTCACAGATATCTTGGGATATAGTAAAATTAGTAGTCTCATCAATATTTTCTAAACAAAGTATCTGAGGAAAGATGATTACAATTTATAATATAAATTATGCTAAAGGAAGTAAAGCATATTAATTCATTTTTTAATGTTAGCATGAGAAAGCAGAAAATATTAAATACAGTACAAAGTCCGAGATCCGGACTCGCAGGGATTTCGGAATTCCGATTTTTTTCGGATATTAAATCATCAGTTTACATCTAGTAAGATGGCAAATAGAAATTAAAAATATGAAATCGCGATTTGTGAAATAATGAAGCATTCCTGATTTAAATGGTATGAAAATTAAAAAAAAAAAAAAAAAAAAAAAAAAAAAAAAAAAAAAAAAAAAAACTTAATATATATTTGTTCATTTTATTAAATATTTCTTTCAATGTAAGTTCTTTAAGTTTCCTCGTTTTTTTGTGCTAATACTTTCTCTTTAATTCTGCAGACAGACATAATTTCTTGTCCAGTTACAAAGTTCCATTGTTCAAATCCTGTAATTGCTGTGTCAAGAATTCCAACTAACTTATCAATCAAATATTTTTTTTTTTTTTTTTGTTTTTTTCTTTTTGTTTTCAGTAACTTCTCTCTCTCACTTTCTTCACTATTGGTAGGGGATTTTTCTGGATCTAGAGCCATTCTACAGATTTTGCCACCAGTTAAGTGATCGATGTTTGAGGTATTATCATCGCAGTGGAAAACTTCTGTTATATCGTCTTCATTTAATACTGCTTCTCCACATTTCTTCAGAAAATCCATTAGCTGGAAAATTTCACCTTAGGTTTGCAATATCCAAAAACCTTCAAATTCATGGTTATCATTTTCATCATCCTCACTACGAAATAATGATAGCTGGCCATACATTATGCCAAGCATTTTTTAAGTATCTGGATACACATCCTTCCACAATCTTGAGAGGCTTCCCTAAGCAGCTTTTATGGTAAAATATTAAAATAATTCTTGAACAGTCTTGCCATTATTCGAGAAATTTAACATGCATTTTAAAAATGCTACTTTATATTTGCATTTCAACTTGTACACTATTACAATATCCATAGGCTGAATGATGGACGTACAGTTTAGAGGAAAGAATAATATGGATACATTATCTTTCACTAAAACTTTATTGTTTGTTGCCTACGATCAGGACAATTTTTGCATCATCAGGTAAAAGAACTGATTTCAAATGTTGCCGAGCTTATTCTGAAGCCTTCTTCACCTGAAATTTTTTATTGTCTTATACCATGGCGATTTTTTAATTTGGTTAACCAACTGTTGAATATGTGCACTCAGTTTTTAAGTTCACTTTTTTATAAAATATTTTGGCTTGAACCATTAGCACCTGTCAGAATTAAAAAAAAAAAAAAAACTTTTTCTGTTTTCTTATGTCATATGTTATTTCTTATGTCAGGATGTGTGTCCAGATACTTAAAAAATGCTTGGCATAAATACAGTTGACTTTCTAATGCCATAATCCTTGCATATTTTTGAGACGAATATACTTTTATCCATATTTTGTAGCAATTCCACTTTTTGTTTAAAGGACATCAAAACATGTTTCCACTTTGTAAACCCTTTTGCAGCTCCAGAATTAGAAACTCCTTTTGACACAATTGAAAGCTCAAACTTTAATTAAAGCAATTTCATAAAATTGATGTAATAATAACAGCCTCAAAAAATAATAAGCTGGATCAAATCAGAAAGTTAAGGAACAGGGTAATCTGCTATATCAACTGAAATCCTGTGGAATCAGTAAAGTATAATTTTAGCCTAGCTTAATAACATCTGTTATATATTATTGGCTATGTATCATGAGATTGGCCATGAAAGACAAGTTCTTCCACTAAATTTTGTCTTGTTTCTAATTGTGCACTGAAGCAGTTAAGCCTGAAATTGTATAAATTTAGTTAATTAATATACTTACGTCTTATTTTTGCACATGCGTACGAGCCCTGACTAAATAAATTCACACATATACTTTAGGCTTGTCGAGGGCCAGCGGTAGATGTCTTACCACCTGATGCAGTCTCTGGAGGTCCTAAATTCTGCTACTAAGTGCCTTTTTAAGTTCTAAATTTTTACCGGTCCTAAATTTTAGGTCACAGTGCTTTCCCTAAATTCTGAAAATTTTTTCATCCTTTAATGTTTCTGCTCAGTGCTTCTCTAAATTCCAAACATTTTGTCTTCCCTAAATTCTGCCGCCAGTGCATCCATGCAAGCTCTAAATGTAATCTCAAACTGGTTCTGGGTTTATGCGAATAACACATCAGTTGTTCTTAATTCAAATAGTATAAAATGTAATCTTTTGGCTTATGAGTATCATTAACAAAATCTATTTTTAGCATATGGAAAGAAATTTTTGTTAAATTTTCCCTTGTCAACATTTCTAGTGCATTTAACTGAAATCTGTAATTATCGTCAACTTCAAAGGTTACCATACCTTTTAATATTCAATTACTAATATAAAAAAATTTTTAGGCATTGCTGCATGAGTCATTACTCAAGTTATGTGTTGATAAACATGCGGTGATGAGAACAAAATATAATAATGATTCGCCATTTTGGCGACAGGGATAAAAAGTATTAATAGTGTAAAATTAACAATAATGTTTTGGTTTTAGATGTATGCCAAGCAGATATGCAACTACGGAGCCAAATTATTGATCACACAAATTTATGCTAAAATGATTGTTACCTTGAATAGAGGTATTTTATTTAGTGCCGAAGTGAATTTACAAATCGGAACTCTCTATATTTTCTATTTTTTGGGGAAAACAATCAAACATGCATGTGTAAAGCATACAAAAAAGGGCGGGGGGAGGTTGTTGGTGGCTTTGAGGTCTGGGTTTTAGATCATTCCTGATATTGGATATCTGAATCTCGGACTTTGTAATCTATTTTAACTTTCCTCCATTTAAGTGGTAAATACATGCTCATTTATTAAAAATGTGATTTTATGAGGCATAATTTAAAATTATTTTTAATGGGTTCAAAACAAATTACTGCCTTTATCAATAAAGACATATTGCTGTATGTAATCACATACACAATACACACACATAATGTGCATATATATATATATATATATATATATATTTAAACAAATTTAAATTCTTAACAAATACGTATAAAAGTAAAAAAATTTAAATTCTAAAAAAAGGAAAAAAGCCAAAATAATTTATAATAATTTAAAAAAATGTGCAAACATGTAAAAGATTTAATTCTCGAACTAATCTAGAATATCATTTAAATTCAGAAGCATAAGCAAATCAAGTGCAAAATCTATCCATGAAAATAAATCTATTAATTTAATAAATTAAAATTAAATTAAACAATTTAAAAAAAATGCATATGTGAATGACCGTAGAGTAGTCAGGAGACAGACTTATCAAGGGGAAGTTGCCTCCAAACCTAACTCTCCAATCATTCAATTCGTGTTTCGTCATTCATGCAGGCAAGGGTAAAAGTAATTCCAATAAAGTGGTACCCTTAGAAATTATCATCTAAGTATTAACATTTAAGAATTAAAGTTCAAAAAGTTCTTTAATTTAAGAATTAAAGTCTTTTGAGTAACAAGCAAGTAAAGTCAATAATTAAACTTTTTCTTAAAAATTAAATTTTTTAAAAATTAATTTTTTATAAAATAATAAAAAAATCTAGAATCCAATGTATGTATTTTAGAAATCCTTGTCTACAGAAACTTTCCCTACACGAATATGCATATCAATAAAAAAGAAACTATAAAAGAACTATACATAATCCATATAAACCAATAAGAAACAAAAAGAACTAATTCACAATTTTTAAAAAACAAATATATATTTAAAAATATGATTTCATATTTAGAAAATACTTAGGTACTACATAAAAAAAAAAAAAAAAAAAAAAAAAAAAAAACTTAATGCAAGTAAATAGTAAGTTTTAATTCTAACTTACCTACTATATGAGTGTTTTGGTCTGCAAAAGTGTTGTGAAAGAGAAGTAAGTGTGTTCTTCAAATTATATAGATGGTGCTTATGTAGGTAAAGTTGAGTGTCAAGCTGCTATCTTTGTTATAGTAAAAAAAAAAAAAAAAAAAAATTGTAAAAATTAATATTAAAAATTAAATTAAATTAAATTAAAAATCCTAAAGGTAGTAATATCAATTATTTAGGGACTTAAGTAACTGAGCCAATCAAGAGATGTAAGTTTGCTTGAAGGAAATTAAAGTGTAGTGGTATGTGAAAAAAATGTAAACTGTTTGTAATTTGAAATGTGTGTTCTGTTGAAAAATTGTGAAAATTGTTAAAAAAATTAAGTGAAAGATATTTTGTGTGAAAATTGCAAAAAATAAAGTAATTAAGAAAAACTGAAATGTTTTAATATTAAAGTTTTAAAGTAAAATTTCCCCAAATTTTTTTTGAAATGAAGTCCTTAAAAAACCTCTAAAAATTCCCAGAAATTTCTCAAAAATTCCTTTAGGAAGTTAAATAAAACTTAAATTTGATGAAAGAAAATATTAAAAGTTTAATGAACTTGATTTCAATTGGTATGTCAGAACTTAACTAAATACTGGCTAAAGAATGGAAAATTAGAAGAAGAAGATTAAAATCTTCACTCAATTGACTTTACTTGCTTGTTACTCAAAAGACTTTCTTTTTTGAACTTTAATTCTTAAATGTTAATTTCTAAGGGTACCACTTTATTGGAATTACTTTTGGTTTTGACTTTTACCCTTGCCTGCATGAATGACGAAACACGAACTGAATGATTGGAGAGTTAGGTTTGGAGGCAACTTCCCCTTGATAAGTCTGTCTCCTGCCTACTCTACGGTCATTCACATATGCATTTAAAAAAAAAAAAAATTGTTTAATTTAATTTTAATTTATTAAATTAGTAGATTTATTTTCATGGATAGATTTTGTACTTATGCATCTGAATTTAAATGATATTGTAGATTAGTTCGAGTATTAAATCTTTTACATGTTTGCACATTTTTAAAAATTATTTCAAATTATTTTGGCTTTTTTCCTTTTTTAGAATTAAAATTTTTTTTTTACTTTTATAACGTGTTTTGTTAAGAATTAAATTTGTTTAAATTTAAATTTCATTCCTTGCAGCAATGGTGCAAAGAATATTTAATTAAATATGTATTTAAATTTAATTTTTTAATTAAATTCAATTAAATTAGGAATAATATATATATATATATATATATATATATTAATCTAAATTAGTAATTCTTATGTATCATGTAAATAAAATGTTAAAGAGGATAGAGAGAGAAAAAGCTTACCTTTTCATTTGCCAATATCAGCACCATAACAAATGCAAATTGCAGCGGTATATGTTCAGAGCAAATAAGTTTAAAATCACCAACAAGCTCTTGGTATACATCAGTAAAAAGAATTGATTCAGGTGAACCCTGTTTTGCATGAAAGAAAAAAGTAAACTTTAGCTACTCAATAAAAAAGCATTAAAAAAATTATTACATTTAATATCAAGATTTTCCCTTTTTTATATACATATAATAATTATAATACTGAAAACTTAGAGAATGCAATTTCAAAATTAAAAGGCTGTTGAAAATATGACATATAAATTAATATACGGCTGTACTGGCATCATTCATGTTCTACAAAAGTTTTAACACCCACACTTCTTTTCCATATTTAATAAAATAGGTCCCTTCTCAAATTTCTTTGTTTTTTTATTTCTAAAAACTGTGAACACTTTTCTTATCAATACTTTATCATGTTTGTTATTGTTTCTTCACTAATTCTTACCAATAATTGTATGATTTCTGATTTCCTCCTCCATCTCAAATCCCAATTATTTAAAAATTTTTTCTCTAATTCTGCATTTTTCGTATTAATTTCACTGTATGTTTAAAGGTAATATATTTTGATATATCTACTGTAATGCATGCAAAATTTGTTTTAAAGCATCATACTTTTCTTGCAATTCGCTTATACAAAATGATTTTTTTATTATAAAAATTATAAATTGTGAAGTTTTTGAACTTCTTTTGCAAAGAAAAATAAAACAATGCTTTATTGTAATGATGGTAATAAACATCAACAATAGCATTAACAAATGTGGACTAAGACTGAAAATGAAGAGCATTCATCTGTAATAAATAGTACGAGTTTTTCAACTTTTCTGAACTCAAGATAGTTTTAAAAAAGGTCCCACAAACATAACTTAAAAATATACATAATGCAGAAATTACTGTAAAGTTTTAGATATTTAAAAAACCTAGAGATCAATACCTTATATTATAATTATAAAATATTTATTTCAAAGAAGAAATCTGACAGTTTGTGTGAGATTTTATACTATAGATGTGTGAGATTTTATACAGATACATTTAATCTCTTTCTGAATATCCAACATGGAAATTTGACAGATTATGCAGAGATTACTGTATTAATTAGCATTTGACAGAGATTAGTGTCGCATAGTTGCCCATACATTAGTTACGTTGTGCATTAAATTTGACAGACATTAGTGCATTAATTAACATATTTGTCTCCTTTACGTATTCTTTCTAACGATTTTAGTGCATGACTGACAAACATATTTTAATTTACAGTCAATTGCTGATTAATTAGGCTCTGTCTTAAAATAAAAAGTTTGAATATTGTGAAATGATGGGGGGGGGAAGGCTAGAAAAAACACAAAAAGGAAAAGGAAAAGTAAAATGAGTTCAATCATAGTGATAGCAGATGATGTCATAGCATTTGGAAGTTACACACAAAGCCCCCCCCCAAAAGGAAGCCATATATTTGCAAAAAGACAAATGCTTATACAGTAAAATACGTTTAATGCGAAAACGCTTAGATAAAATATCGAACACAAAATAATACAATGGTCCTGACAAACTACTATGAATTTTCATGCAGTTTTTTTCTCTTAAAACGAAAAGATTTCCCCGTTCTGGAAATGAACAAAATACGGAAAACACCAGCCATGCAGGTGATATTTAAGAGGGGCGTGAAATGAAAGAGAGATAGTTTTACACGTTTTGTAGAAAGGTGGCTAACTTGGCTTTGAAATACCTTTGGAATAGCCTGTGATACGAGCCAGTTTTGTTTATCTAAGCTACTTTCACCCTCTACTCCTACAAACGCCATACAAACACATCTCATCTCTCATCAGTTGGCTTTGGAATTTGGTGATGAGTACATCACAGTGTGAGTAAAAATCAGCAAGTTTGGTTCATGCCAAAAGAAATGGAGAAGGACGATATTGAAACTGAAAATTAATGAAATGTTTGAGAAAGTTTCTGGGTTATTGGACTGTCCTACTGTATCATCAGAAGAATTTGTTGCAGTAGATGATGATAATGTATATACAACCCAATTATGGCACACAAAGACATTTTGGATTTGTTCAAAGCTAAAAAAATATCATTGATGCAGATTCTGATGATGAAAATGAAATGAATAATGCAGCTCCTATTCCCACATCATCCGAAATGAGGAATATCATAAAAAGTATGTGCAGTTATTTAGACACGCATTTAAAATGGTGAAATGAATAACAAAATGGAAGACATCGAACAACTTGCTGACGATCTGATGCTAAAAAAGACAATGCAAAGAAAAATATCAGATTATTTTCTAAAAACTCAATAACTGTTTTGTTTTTCAAAAAACTTTAAAATTTTGTATTAAATTTCATTAAGTTCTTGTGGATGCTTCATGTATTTTTACTAAACATATGCATATATACATATCTATGCAAATAAAATGTACTTTAATAAACTTATTTCGTTGAATACATGTTTTTTTTTTGGGGGGGGGAGCAATATCCTTTAACACGAAATTCTTTTCCCACGAAAATATATTTAAGTCCCCTCAGTTTCGTGTTAAACGATTTTCACTGTAATTTCAGAGGCATTCAATGCTTTATTCAGAAGATACAGCTGCCAGACTGGCAGAAGACAGAATGCCTTTATTTTTTTTCTAAACTTCTAATGTAAGCATTCTGTACAGCCCTTTAAAAAATTTTTCATTTTCTTTACTGACTTTTCCCCCTCAATCTCCTTTAGATATTAACAATATTCGAAAGCTAATCATAACATTACTTCACTTTTATATATTTCATTGTTGGAGAACATTATACTAGTGTGAACACTTACTAGTGTGAAGAAAATGCAAGAATACACATCTAAACTATTCAAAATTGTGACCGACCACAGGTTCAGGGCTCGATACCCGGGATGGGCAAGATTGACTCAGCCTTTCATACCTGGAGTGGGTTGATAAAATGAATACCAAGTTCGTTCGCTTGGGGACCAAACACTGCGGGTCTTGCAAGAACCTGACCACTTGCCCAGGGCATATACAGATGCACTCCGAGGCCCAAGAATCAAGAAAGCAGAAAGAGGACACTGCAGCCCATGGCACCACTGAGGTTTTTTTTTTTTTTTTAATTCAAAATTGTAGGTAGGATTCTTTATTCTGTGAAAAAAAATTTACAGCAGTAGGTCATTCACAATAAATGCTAATGTGTTTGCATTTAAAAATTAAATTCAGAAGTCAAATAGGAAAAATATACTAACATAATACTTAAAATAGGACATAAGGTTGATGTTTTGCCTAATTTTAAAATTTAGGAGCTTAGAATCGCACTAGATTGAAAAAAGTGTTTAATTAAGACACTTGTTTAATATAATTGAATTGCATATTGAAATGACCTTTTAACTACGCTACAGAACCTCTCACTAGCAGATAAAAATTATAGTTTGAGAATTATTATATCAGACTAAGGCGGGTAAAATATTTTCTGCAAAGAAAATACAGGTTACAGTAATTCATTTGTTGCTTTTTTTCCAAGCAAAATATTTTTTTTTATTGTTTTACACTTCATTTTGGATTTTAGCTCTAGATACTGAATACGGGGGGGGGGGGGGGTGTCTAATGAGTACAACCATATGGGAAAACTAAGTTTTATTTTCTCCAAACACTCGCCCTTTCTTCAGGGTAGAGACTCAATACAAACAGATTCATTCCTGCCTAGGTGAGATCTTCTGTGACACATTCACTCTTTCAACCACTCTTTCACCACAAATTACAATAAACTGTCTCACTTTGCTTTTTCACCAACCTACAATTTCATGTGTAACTTTGCTTTTTCACCAACCTACAATTATCATTTCCTCTTCATTCAAAGTCTGTTGCCCTCGCCCTTTCTTCAGGGTAGAGACTCGATACAAACAGATTCATTCCTGCCTAGGTGAGATCTTCTGTGACACATTCACTCTTTCAACCACTCTTTCACCACAAATTACAATAAACTGTCTCACTTTGCTTTTTCACCAACCTACAATTTCATGTGTAACTTTGCTTTTTCACCAACCTACAATTTCATGTGTAACTTTGCTTTTTCACCAACCTACAATTATCATTTCCTCTTCATTCAAAGTCTGTTGCCCTCGCCCTTTCTTCAGGGTAGAGATTCGATACAAACAGATTCATTCCTGCCTAGGTGAGATCTTCTGTGACACATTCACTCTTTCAACCACTCTTTCACCACAAATTACAATAAACTGTCTCACTTTGCTTTTTCACCAACCTACAATTTCATGTGTAACTTTGCTTTTTCACCAACCTACAATTATCATTTCCTCTTCATTCAAAGTCTGTTGCCCTCGCCCTTTCTTCAGGGTAGAGACTCGATACAAACAGATTCATTCCTGCCTAGGTGAGATCTTCTGTGACACATTCACTCTTTCAACCACTTCAAATTACAATAAACTGTCTCACTTTGCTTTTTCACCAACCTACAATTTCATGTGTAACTTTGCTTTTTCACCAACCTACAATTATCATTTCCTCTTCATTCAAAGTCTGTTGATGTACGTACAGTAATGCGAAGAAACATTTCATGAACTCCCCCCCCCATTCCAACGCTTTCAGCCTTCAGCTATTTATTATTTCTCACTGAAAGTTTGTTAATGTACAGTAATGCTAAGAAACATTTCATGAGCATTTTTTTATAACTCTCTCTGAACACAATATGTCTATCCCAAAGGGTAAAGTTTGAATGAGGAAACCTTAACAAAATGTTGCTCTTCCACTTCCTAGCAGCTGTGCAAGGGCCAAATTAACCATCAAGCTAAATAAACATATGCTTAGGGTATCAGAAAAAGAGGGCACCATAAAAAGATGCTTAGGAACTCGGGAAGAGAGCAACTAAAAAATTTCCCATTGCCATCTTACCATGAAATGCATGGTAAAACTAAACGAAGACTGAGCTATAACCATGTATTTGAACATAAGTGACTAAGTTTATTAATCAATATATTTAATAAGTGGTGGTTATTGTATGTAGGTATAAACACACTATGAAAATCAATATTAAGTTTTAAAATTCTTCGATTAAAAAAACTCAGTAATTAACAACAAGATAGATGAGAAATTCCTAATAAAATGCTAAAAGTGATTAAAAAAGAGTATTCTGCTTCGCTTGCATTGTCACAAAGCAAAAAATATAGAAGCTTTTTTTTGTGTGGGGGGGGGCTGGAATCTGAAAAATTTTCAGATTTCATAAGATTTCTTCCATGCTATTCAGAATTCTTCAAAAGCTAACAAAAACTACAATAAAAATCAATTGTCTTTGTTAAAGAATATTTCTTATTTAAAAATAAATCAAGGATATTTTTTGAATATTTCCTTATTCAAACTAGATTAATAAAAAATTCAAATGGTTTATAAATCTAATTTAAAATAATTAATTGAACACATGACAAAAAAGCTGTGATTAAATTAATTAGCTATCTGAGTTTTGAAGATACATATGATTTATTAATTGTAGTTCGAGACACTGAAGATACATAAAACAACAAATACAGTTTATGTTCTCAATATTAATGTACCAATTATTTAATACTCTTATCTAAACTATTTCTAGTAACTGAAAGAATAACGTTAAAAATAACTTTAAGTGCAATACTAAGTAAATAAATGGAAAACTTATTTATAAAAAAAAATACCTCATTTAATCTTCTTGAAATTATATCCCACAACATCTTTTTTACTTTTTCTGTATTCAAAGCCATAGGTTTAGTTTCATATTTGATATTTGGTGGTTTTACCTAAAAATATATATATCAAGGTTTAAGGATTAACAGTTTATGATTGAGAAAAAATAACTATAAATGGCAAAATCAAGGAAACATAAGCTACGAAGTCATGCTAAAGTAATGTCATTTTTTTAAAGTAGGTTTTGAAGAAATAAAAAAATTAGTAAAATACTAATTTTATCACCTATATATTCTTTACCTGAATCAATAATATTCTTTTAATGCTGTAACAGGTTTATGCCATTCCTAAAGAAATCAGATGGCTTTTGAAGAAAAATTCTTGAAGGTCAATTTCAAGTGCTTCATGGGAATTGTGTTACATTCTTTTTCTATAGCTTTGCAAGCTTTGAACCACTAGTCACTAGACGGTTCAGAAATGGAGAATGATTTCATGTGAATGAAAGATGTGCAGATATTCATATATATTCCCTTTGATTAGACAAGATTCCAAATTCATTCAAACAACGATGAAAAGCTGATGATGATAAATTGATTATTTTTGCCTCTTCGAAAAACTGCATGTAGATTTCTTTCAATTACAATTATTTTTTGATAATTGTGTCATCATCGAAAAAGACAGTGTTCCCACAGCAGGTGGTATCTTTCAACCAAAGCTCGATTTGCAGACATTTACAAAATCATCACCGACACTTGTGAATATTCAGAACACCTTTACCATACACTTTCTCCACATTTTTACAACATTTGCAGCTCTAAAGTCTTCATTTTACTGAAGTATTTAATGCATTATTCTATGACCATCATTCAAATGAAGGGGTATTAAAGCCACAAATTAAAACTGGTGTGTTTGCAAGCCAGAATTTATCAAAATGAAGCTCACTGTTTTTGCGCAGTGGTACTTATTCATTCATGAACGTTTTGTACAAAAAATGGCATTTCTTGTTGGAAGACCTAAAAATAGCAGTTTAATACCATAGTGCAAAGAAAAAATAAATTCCAGAAGGTAAACTGAGATTAATTTATCCATGCTATCTGAATACAATAGAATTTAACAGCTTCATTAAAACAAGAATTTTTTTTTTTCCCTCTCTCTCTCCATTTCCATTCTAACATAAATATTTCAGTAAAAGTTGGAAAATATGCAGAAAGACTTGAGCTAGTTCAAGAAATCTCTAAAACCAATTTTTATTTCATAATTTATTATGGCAAATTCAATTTACTTTTGAAAAGGGAGACTATGTTGTTCATCTCCCACGGAATACATTAAATTTTTTTCATTACAAACAAAGACTACATATTGTTCATTATGAAAAATCTTTTGATTTTTTGTTTTCTGTGCAGCTTCTGAGCAATCAAGATATTCAAAATATATAATCTTTTAATACAGGGTTAGCCAAAGTTCATATAGTAAGAGCAGCACATTTGATTTCAGGAATGTTTGAGAGCCACATTTAGATTTTCTAAAAGTCACAAGTTCATATTTACATCATTATAGAAGTAGTGGAAGAGGTTTTAAATAGAAAGAAATCCCTGATAACTTTGTAAAAAGAGTCTAAACTAATTAATTATTTCTTTTTGGACACTGAATAGTTTTAATTTACCATATTTCATACATATATTTTATATGCACCATCCGCACAAATTGCCTGCGAGAGCCATATCAGGCTCACGAGCCGCACTTTGGCCACCCGTTTTAATATATCAAAAATCATTTTGAGTCAATTCTTCAAAAGTTTTCAGTCCTAATTGCTTACAAGTACAGGAAGGGACTCGGTATACTACTCATAAATTTTTATGGAACTTTTTATACTTATTAAATGCCATTTTCAGATAATTAGTTGGCTAATTAAACAGTTGTGGAAAAGTGTATTCAACTTGTTTTAGTGATGTCTCCATGAAAGACTTTCTAAATGAAACTGGCTCTTATTAGCATTAAACATGAGCAAAATCTCACAAATCCCATACAACTGCCTCATTTGCTAGGAAACAGACTCAGGATGACTATCAGTGCTGAATGATCTCACCTACTTGGCCACAAGTATAGCATTTTCAGACAGCACTGACATTTTAAGTTAAAAATCCAACAAAATTTACAAATTTTTTATTAGTTTTAATGACAGCAGAATAAAAAAACTACCAATTACAGCAAAAATAAAAATAATAAAAAAGTGATAAAATTATTAAAAATAATAAACTGAATGTAAAGGGGGAATCATGCTGTCTTTCACAATTCTAGAATTCTCATATAAGGTAGTCTCAACTGAGTTTAACATTTAAGTTGTAGCACACTGGGTTTAAGCTACACTTTGATTAAATGGTAAGGAAGTGGTGTCGGGCTGAAGGATTGATCAACTGGTTTAATTAAGCATCAGCCTACCACTACTTTTAAAAGACTATTAATCAAATGGAAAAGTTAATTTAATTTTTAACAGAAATATCCTGCTAAAGTATTATCATATAATCTAGGCACATCACTCTTAAGAAATTTATATACATTGCACATTTATTGCTAACAATACAACTGTTAGGAAACAAAAATATTTATTTCATTAAACAGCAAGACAATAATCAATCTGATAACTAAGTTATGATCATAACATTTACCACACAGTAGTCTGCTAAATATGGTCCTACAGTGTGCAGATTTTTTTTAAATGACTATGCAATACAATATGTTGCTGTGCAGAAGTTACAGGTGGGTTTTCACATGTAATGTTATGCAGTTTCCCATCAGAACAAAGCATATTATGATATCATTGGGATGAAAGATGAATAACATTGACCTAGGTAGAAACCTAAAAATGCAAAGGACTTTACTGAAAGATGAATTTCTAATCATAGCAGGTAAAAGGTAATGCAGTCTTCAGCGGTGGATATGATCACCCCTGACTTCGATGCATGATGTATACCATTGGCATTCCTCTTGCAGAACTTATCACACTGCAGAATTATTGCCAGAAGCTGTTGGATAAACTACTAAACATCTTCCAAGTACCTCCCACTCATGTTAAATTGCACTTAGGGACTATGACAGCCAATCCACACACTAAATAACTTCATCCCCCATGAGTTCAGAGACAGCTTCTGTAAATTGAAATATAGCATTGTTGTCCACAAAGAGGATTCATGGACCCACAGCATCTCAGAAAATACACAAGGCTGGTCACAAGTTGGTGATCCTACTTGGAAGAAATGAAGCTCTATACAGACAACAAGCACCCCATACCAAGTATAAGTATTCTAGCCCCCTTTTGAACTCCCCAGTATGTGTTCCTGGCTTCATAGAAAACACTGCTTCCAGTGAATATGTATCAACGACTCCACCATACTGGTTGTCAAGCAAATAAACCACCTGTGTGTAGTTAAAGTAAAACACATTACCGAGTGTCAAATAGTAGAGTGGGTTTCTTCTATCAAGATCCTGACATGTAAGACAAAATACTAACCCTCCATCATGGTAGAGGGCCCACCAGCGGCCGAGCGGTAAAGTCACCAAACACTGGTAGTTCGGTCCGAGGTTCGAATCCCGTGAACGGGCTAGCTGCATGGGTGTTTTCGTGGTTTTCCCCATGTGTAACGTGTATACGAGCCAGTTTCCCTTAGAAAGTCCTCCACGAAGGCATCTTCCCCTTAGGCAGATAGCCCTAGTGTGCTTTGCCATAATTAAATACACCAACACCATCATGGTAGATGCTTGTCAGCAAGCATTACTAAACCTTCAGACAGATGTTCCCATCAGCTGAAATGCCATCAAAACTTGTGATACAAGGCTGCATGTAATTTTAGTCTTGATGATTACACATGATGACATTTGTGATGATTCCATATCGTTCAAACTGATTTACATGTTGCATAAAATTTTGAAGTATCTGGTTGTAACGAAAGTTTTCTGCCAAAACATTCTTAATAAAGTTTGGGGGGAGGGAGGCGGAATCACAAAAGCAGTACCTTTAGTGTAGGTAGTAATTACCTTCCAAATCTATGATTTTCTGCCAATGTTTTGTTAGTTCTTAAATGCCTTTGGCGCAGAAACTTTGTGGCTGCAAGTCTAAAAACAGATCAACCTCATTTCAGATGTCATGTGCAGAATGCACCAGCAAGATGTAACTGCAGGTAGGGGAAAAAAAAAAAAAAAGTAGAAGTTCAAAGAAGGGATGTTGGGGCTATATGCTAGGTGTGGCAAAAGATCCTATTCGAGTCCGCACAAAGTCCAGCTGGTGAATGCTGACACATGTGGTCTTGCATTATCTTGATGGAATGTTACTTTTTGTGCTGGAACTTAGTTTGGTGTTCTTCCTTGATAGCACTGTGATAAGGTGGCATAAAGGTTCTTTGTCTAGGATGAGTGATTTCAGAGTGCAATAGTTTTCATATCAGTGGTGAAATTCCGTGCTGTTGTTAACGATTCCGGTTGCAGTCTTGAAGGTCACTCCAGTGGACAAAGAGATAAAAGAAGTCTTTTTATCAGGGTCAGGAGATGGACACTTTGTTATGCATGAGTGAAAGAATCTCTCCCCCCCCCAGGACTTCAGTGCAAGTAAACACAGAGAGATATATAAGGTGGTTTGCTGAGAAGAGGGGACACTTTCTTGTTTGGAGCTATGGGCATGTTGGCCTGCTAGAACGATCATTCCTCGTGTATAATCGGATAGAGCAATTTTCCTGTAACAAAATTCTGAAATTACGGGACTAAATATATCCAAGTCTCATACTGTCAAGATATGCAACTGTTAAGGTTTTCATATTATTAAAATATGTGTTATTGTTAAAACTTGAGTTTGAAGTTTATTTCAACCCTGTGTCACAACCCAGGGTGTGTGTAGCAGTTTCGGCCACTATACCAAAACATGGACTAGCATCTCACTGTACATCTTACTGTCGAGGGCTTTCCCTTTTCCAAAATAAATCTTTGTGGATAATACCATGGCAATCCCAACAGATACAAAGCATGATCCTTTTGTTAGTCAAACTGCGCTTTGTGACGCTACCGATGGGCTAACCGGGAACAGACAAATCCCCTTTTCGCCCAGTGTTATTGAAGTAAATCCACTTTTCATCACAAGTGACAATGCGGTCCAAAATTTTGTCCTTGCATTCACATTCGAGCAGATTAGTGCAGACCTGAACTCGTCTTTCCTTATCACCTTGAGGCAGCATATGCGACACCTCATGGTTCAATATGTATATAGAGTTTATGAGATGCATAGTTCGACTAATGGACATGGAAGTAACGTCTAACTCCTTAGCAAGCTCTTAAGTGGTTGTATACTGATCGTCTTCTACAAGTTCTTGCAGGTGGCCTCATCAATTTCAGTAGGCCATACAGAGTCTTCTGCTTCTTGAATGTCATAGCCCTTGTTTTTGAACTTTTGGTACCAAATCTTCACAGTAACATATGACACAACAGCACCTACGGCTGTACACATGATTTGGTGACATTCTGTAGCTGACTTTTTGCAACAGAACTAGAAATAAATTATGGTTCTAATCTGGTAGTGTGATAGTTCTATTTCAAACACCTTAAAGATGATATTTTTTACAAATTTCCCAACATGGTGTTCTAAAACAAGTATCTTTCTTTCAAATGCCAAAAATTGTTTGAAAAAATATGATTAAACATGCCAAAGCAAACTGTTTGATCAGATGATATTTGCGGTGGCTGGAAACTTTTGTTAAAACCCGATACATAGAATTATTACACTTTACTCTTTCCATTTGGCCACAGTATGTCATGCTGAATAAATGCTCATGTACTGGAACTTAAGTGATTTCCTAATTGGTTTTTTGCTAAGTTTTTCTGCTGTTATTTAATTTTCTACCACATCCTTAATTTTTGCTTACTAGTTTATTAAAACTTAAAAATTACCATTCCAAGTAATGAAAAAATCTGTATATTAATAAACCAATAGCTTCACTAGTATTAATATTTATACTTAAGGAAATCATACCAATTCAGGTGGTGCTACCAGCATTCTATCTATCTCTGAGTCATTTGAATTTGGAAAAGATGAAGGTAATTGAAATGGAGTCTCTGCAATTCCTTCAGGACAATCAAGAGAGTCTCCTTTATCATCATTACCAAAGTAATTTATTTCCATCGAATCATTCAGAGAAAGATTTTTCAAGGAAGTCACCAGATCTTCACAAACTAATGGATTTTCATGACCGGATAGGCTTTCCTGAATGAATGAGAGAAATTACATATAAAAAATTATAAAATACATATAAAAATACATAATGATTCAAAAGAATTTAAAACTCTGATTTTTTAAAGCGAAAGTATATAGCCTTGTAACGTATTTGCGTTGCTACGCTACTAACATAATTCCACTAAGAAATGTAAATCTGCAAAGAATATCCACGGAGTATGCACAATGCTCCAAGTATATGGAAGTAATATTCTTATATTATAGTTATTATTTCTGATAAACATTTCTCATTTCAGTCACCTCAGTGCATAACATTCAAAATTAGCCCATTTAGATTTTATTCATATTTGCAGGAACTGAGTTTGGTTGATGCACAAAATAAACACAAATGTAAAATATCAACAAAATAAACTACATATTTTTTTTTTAGCCTGATGTTTTTTATTTAAATTAACTACATACTAACCACACAAATTTTGAAATGAAAGAATGTTCAGTAATTCTGTATCAGTATGGAATACAAAAAGTAACTAAAAATACTTAAAAAGTAGACTTAAAACATTGACTTTATGTAATTCAAGCAATACTAAAAGTAGGGAATATTATTAATAAATTATTTAGCAGTTTATAATAAGATTTGTATAAACTTGAATAACATTTCAGATGCAATTTTTGTGTTTTTATTCAAATTTACTAATAAGGCTAATGTAATATTTCATTTTGAATAAGTGCCATCACAGTTTATTTGACACTCTGAAATACACACCATATGGGGAGAGAAGATTTTGAGAAATGCTTATGAAATAATGTTCCACCATACTTATAAATAATGTTTGCATGTATTTCACTATTAATGTCAATGAAGTTGTCTAAGTGCTTTTAATTCCTACAAATACACCAACTGCTAGACATTAATGAATAAAAGATTCAAGATTATCCAAACAATGCAGGATTTAAGTGTTATGATCAGTACTGAATGTGTCTACCATGAAACAATAACCATTGCCATATGACAAGTCACAGAGTGGAAGAGAAATCTGATAGCATTTTGGGACATTGCAATCCAGACAACTGTACTAACCGCTGCTAGAGTTCATCTACTGCACCCATTAGTGGTCTCTGTCTTGCCAAATATGGTTATGATGTATTCAGTCAGAAAAAGTATTCATGTGCCAAGCAAGGTAGAACTAAAACGTACTACATGTCGAAGAATTGTCAGACAGTAAATACGTGTGGTCATACACTGCCCTGTTGGAAAATGGCTTTAAAGAAGAATTTGACAATATCCAGTAATTCATCCTAAAGTAAATAAATATTGAAATCCTATAAACCATAATACAAGAGCATCTATTTTAAAACACGATCTATTCAATATAGCTATTCAGACACTTGAACTCTACTTTTAACAGGGTTGCCCCTCAAACAGGAGAATGAAATTCCCTGACTTTTCCAGGCATGTTTTAAGAAAATTCCAGTATGGCCCTGTAGTGCACATTGGCTGTGCTGAGAGATAAATTAATTATGGTACCACTTTAAAACAGAAAAATTTGCAAAAAACAAAAAGCAAAAAATGGGTGATCGGTCCAAAATTAAAGCAAAAAATGTACAATTTACCAAGGGGAAAATAAATAAATAAAAATTGAGCTCACAGAGCCGAGTAACAGAGTGGGTATATATATATAAATTTGTATATTTTTGGTGTGGCCGATTGCAAACAGAAAGGGAGGTGCACAACTACATGTTATAACAGTCCTATACACAAAATTTCAGTGGTCTGAGGCTATTCGTTTTTGAGCTATATGAGACACATAAATACATACATATGTACACACATAACAACAACAATTTTTATTGAAATATGATATCCGAGAATTTTCACGATTACAATATTTCCTTTACTTCATACAAGAAAGTAAAAAGGGATGATTCAAAAAGCTTGGGAACTGCTGCTTTAGGATGTTCCAGTTTGAATTCCCCATCATTAAAATATAAAATTATTTTTCCTAATTAGTTTCACAATTTTATTACTCCAATTCCCCTCCCCCATTACTTGCAGAAAAAAGTTATTTTTTCTGCAAGTAATGGGTTATTTACATTCCAGCATTCTAATATGACAATTTTTAGCTCCCTTTATAAGATAAAAATTACACCTACTGTAATCTTACTTGATTAAAAAAGCACAAGCTTGATCTTTAGTTAGAGATTTAAGTTTGGTGACATTTGCAAAATATTTATTTAGTGATAGTCATGAAACTGATAATGAATAAAATATTGTAGCTTGCATCAATACTGAAAACTTGTTGCCAGTAATGCCCAAATATTGCAACAATCCCCAAAGCAACCTGTATAACAACATTTGAAGCAAAACTTTAATGCAAGTCATATAATTTCACTGTTGTTTCCATTACCTACATTTCCTTTTGCCATTATATCATTTATGTTGCACTTAATTTTTTATGATCTTATTAAATGTAAATTTCGTTGCTGAATTCTGAGAAGCTAGATAGATTTTTGGTCTTATAGAAGAATCATGATTTTTATGAAAAAAATCTAGCAAATTATTTAAATTCTAAGATGACATTCCACAGCTACCAACTTTCAAATATGAAAAACCCAGATTTCAGGGAATTTTTTGTGCATTACAGCGGAGCATTTGGGTTATTCAACTATTTACAATATTAGGTAAAATACATTAATTAGATATTCTTAATTTTATGCCTTTTGGTCAATTTCATTATGTTTCCCACATTTTTAAATTGAGGAAATCCTGAGTACAGAAGGAAAGCTTTAATTTATCAAAGTACTTTTAAACATATTATCGTGTGGATAAACTTAATGATGTACCGCATATTCATGTAAAACAAAATTAAATAAGTATTAACTGATTGAAAATTGCACGAATCTTCATATAAAACAAACCAAGTGAAATAAAATTTAATAAGAAAAATTATGCTGAAAATCACTAAGAACAGAGGAATGAAATTTGCACACTGGGAAAAAAAGAAGACTCTAACAAGTAAAGGGGGGAAGGAGATATGGCAGCAGAAGTGATGAAAAACCAGGAGAGATGGCAGCGATGAAACTGGCAATAGCAAAAGTATGAGTAATAGTATAATAAAAATATTTTCATTACACCCAATAACAGTGCTTAAAACACAGAAAAAACAATGCAAGGTATAACTACCAATAAAATGTGAACACTTGCATGAATATATTATCTTTCATATATACATTATCTCTCAGTATTGACCATATCAAATAAAACACAATTACAATAAGAATAAAAAAGATCAATGTAATACTTGCCACAGCATAAACTTACTTTTTGATGATCGAAGTCTCCTCTTACTGTTGAAGGTCGAACTGTAGGATGTGATTTTTCTAACGGTTTTTTCCAAAACTATAAGAGTTTGAAAAACGAGTCATTTAGGACACATATGCATATACAAATACAAAGTTAATAAAAGTGCTTGGAAGTGCTATGGTCTCCAAACTTACCTTAACAGAATCTAAATTTAAGAATATTAAAAACATTAATCAAAATATGCTATCTTTTTCAGAGAAATAAAATAGCTGGAGACTAATTACCGTATTGACTTGCCTTTAAAGTATCCCTCATAGCATGATAGTTACCGGCAGTTTATGAATTCTTTTAATTTGTTATGTATAGCAAGAAAATAAATAAAAAATACTTATAAATTACTGGTAACTATTAAGTCAGGGAGGTTACTGGGGGAAAATATGCAAGTAAATACAGAATAACTATTCAATTAACTTTTAATCAAATGTTTCTAGATTTGCAGATAATAATATAAGTATTATTTCACCTTAATATGTCAGGCATATTTTAAGCAATTTTATTCTTTATTATTTATTTATTTTTTTCTTTTTAAGGAAGTCTTATTTTAGTAGGTTGATTAAAGCAAAATACATGTAGGGCATCTACCTAACTCCCCCAATGGTAAGCACTTGCCTATAACGACATTGGCCACTACTAAGGCCAGAAGTGGGGACCATTTTATTGTGGAGGCACCTAACAGGCAGCCACCACTACTTCCTATAAAGGGGCAGACAATTTTACATTCATGCTTTCTCCGGGATTCGAACCCGGGCCCTTCGGTATTGCTGTCAGGCTCCCCTAACCAGTATACCATCTGAGCAGCCCATCTACCTAATTAAAAGGATGCTTTCATGGACGCTTTTTGCAAAGAAAAATGGATTGTATTCATGTTACCCAAGGAAAGTTGGATTTTGTTGGCAAATCAACTGAAAACTGCTTCTTTGGGACTTAGAGTATCATATGAAGTACGAGATGGAGAGATATATGCTATTCAGATGTAAGCACAAAATGACAGTTTCTTTAACATCTATAATATTAATTCAGAAGTCAAACAACAAAAATCAGCGTTATATTTTCAAATTTTCACAGGACTAGTTTCGATGGTTTTACCAAACCACCATCCTCAGCTGCAAAAGCGCAAATGAACGAGATGGGATATAATGATCAAGATAAGATAAGAAAGCCTGGACAGAAAATAAGCTAGCGGCGCCATCTGTTGATGAAACCAGAACTAAAATATAATTTCTTTAAAGGCCAAAGGCAAAGATGGATTGGAATTAGGATCGTTAACTAGAACAGAAAGATTTTTTTGAATGTGAAATGCCTCTAGAAAATCCAGTTCTATAATGGAAGATGTTTTTTGAATAATTTTGGCAGCAGAAAAATTGAAAGTGATTTTCAGACCAACAATGTTGGGCAACAGAAGACTTCTGTGTTTCCTTTTTTCTAACATATGCCTCATGTTCCTTGATGCGAAATTTTAAGGCTCTCTTAGTTTGGCCAATGTAAATTAAACCACACTGGCAAGGAATCCTATAAATACCCCAGGAATTCATATCCGGAATGGGGTCCTTGAGTATGGAACTCGGAATTTTATTGATAGGAGAATAAACGACCCGAAAGTTAAACTTCTGCAAAATATGTGCAACTTTATAGCTGACTGATAGAAAGAAAGGAATGACAACAGAAATTTTATAATCTCCTAAAACAAGAGTGTGCCTTTTAGTGTGTTGAGATGAGAATTTTTTAACTGCTTGATTAATAATGTTGGGTGAAAAGCCCTTCATTTCAAGCTCCATCTGAGAAGGAGCCAAAAGCTTCAAATAATTTTACTAACATCCAAAGAACACAATACTTACGAAGTTATGATAGGGAAATGCATCACATTTAATAAACATTATCTTATGTACGGCTTTGAAAGGTACAGTATTTGTCAAGTCATACTGATGTGAAGTCATATTAATCCCAAAGACTCTTCACAAAGCATTGGCTATGTTTCTGCAGATGATGATGATCACTTACATTGAGTTAAAACTGGAAAACGAATTGGTACTAGTCTTCTGTGGTACCTTGGAATAAAAGTGGGTTTGGCATATCTCTGCACTGGAAGGAAACAAACATATACCAATCTGCACATGTGCAAGAAACAAATGTCAATCATTTAAAGAGTTTTTCATAATTGCAATGTGTTAACATAACGGTTTTTCCTTATAAAATACTCATTATCCTTACTACTTTCAATCTTCCACAATGGAAAAAGAAGCTACAAACGATGTCTGAAATATTATTAACAACAATTGCTAAACTGTGTCCACTAGAAAAATATAAAAAGTTAAATTTTAGCATGTTTACATATGTTAATTGCTAATAATATTGAATTAAATAAAATCTCCCAATACGTTTATATATGTTATTCTAAATGAATTGCTTACATAATTGTATTAAATACAACAAGTGAGTTGATTTATGTTGCAGTTTTAATAAATTGCTAGATAAACTGGTGTTAAATAGTATTATAAGGTATCTCCTTCCTTTCCACATGATTTTGTGGTGCAATAGGAAGCATACTTAACACTTATTCAAGAGGTTTGAGTCCCAGCGAGGGTACTATACATTTTTTCACATCTCTTGCTTAAAAAAAAAAAAATAATAATAATGACTCAAGAAGTGGCATCTGAACTAAAAGGTGGCACATGATAATTCTCCACCAGCACACCAGAATTTGGCAATTGGGTCCCCTCGTCTCCAGTCATCCTTTAGAAAATGGAGAGCATATAAGGTATTTTCTCCTTCCTTTCTGCATGCCTTCATGGTGTAATTGGAAGCAATGCATATTCCAGAGGTCCAGGGTTTAAATCCCGGCAAGGGAACTCCACATTTTTACTTCTAGTGTTAAAAAAAAAAGACTCTACAGTATAAATAATACAAATTTATATTACATTCTTTCTATATGTGTATATTAAATACCTTGTGCTGTGCACATATTGAATGAATTCCTGAATTATCGTTTACCATAGCCAGTTTTCCTTTTGTGAATGTTTGCAGTATTTGGCAAAAAATCGAACTTTTTTAAGCCCAATTGCGTCGATGCCCTTTTTCTCTTACCAAGGCCAGAGCAGAAGACAAGTAACAATGAACTTCTTAAAAGTCAAATCATCACAGAAAAAAACTGTTAGCAAAATCATGAGATTTAAATTCGCTAAAAAATCTTTAAGAATAAGGAAGAGCTGTTGCAAGATGTTACCCAACTTCCAAGCAAACTTGAAGACCAATGCTTGCTTATGGTACAGCAACATGAACATGGCAGCATCAAAATATCACTTTGCAAAGTGCAAATAATAATAATATATATTAAAAAATAAAATAAGAAAATCTGAAAATTTTCAGATTTTTAAATCACGTCCAAAGCGGCAATTTTTTTTTTTTTTTTTTAAACATTTTGTGTGTTACCTTTATTTATTGTATACAGTCAAAAGTCGTTAATTCGGACACCCATAATCCGGACCCTCAAAGCTAAAAACATGCGCATAGGCGTTTCCGCGTGCACGTAAGACCTTTATGTGCACGCGCATATGCGTGTGCGCAAGTGCAGAATACGTTTTCATGTGCGCGTTTAATGTATAACGGATGGTATAAGCTAAAATTATATAATTATCTATTTCAGTTAATGTTGACGATTGCGTTGTTCCTTAATCTTCGAATTGATGCGGCTTATTATTTTTTGCAGACTGTAAGAGCAATTTTATAAAAGTAAACTTGAACTTTCAATTATGTCAATTTCCGATTCTGGAGCTCCCAAAGGATCTACAAAACGAAAGTATGTCTCGATGTCCATCAAACAAAAAGTGGAATTGCTGCAAAAAATGGATAAAGACATGAAGAAGGTGACAGAGAGGTTAGTGAAAATGAAAAAATTTCGATTGACAAGTTAGTCGGTATTCTCGGCACAGCAATTACGGGATTTGAACAGCGGAACTTTGTAACTGAACAAGAAATTATGTCTGTTTATAGAATTAAGGAGAAAGTATTATCACATAAAACGAAACAACTTACATTGAAAGAAATGTTTAATAAAGTAAACAAATAAATATTAAGCTTATTTTTTTTGTAAATTTTGATACCCTTTAGATCATAATTGTTCTTTATTTCATAAATTACGGTTTCATATTTTTAATTTTAGAATTTGTGCATGCCATCTTACGAGATTTAAACTGATGATCTATAATCCGGAAAAATCGATAATCCGGAATCGCCGAAGTCCCTACGAGTCCGGATTAACAACTTTTGACTGTACTATGTTCTTCGCACTTAAAACATAAAAATTCAATTCAACAGCAATATCACAAAATAATTTTAAAATGAGCCTATCCTTAGAATTTCCAATACTGAGTCTGGTGTACTGGAGATAAAGATGTTTTATTTATTTATTTTATTTTTCCTGTAAAGTGTTGCCATTGCTCTCTTTGAAATCGTTGAGTTTATTAATAAAAAATTTGTTGAAGTGTTATAAAATATGAAATTGATAATAAAACAAATTTCAAATTCAAATTAGGGGTTCTACATGCCCATATTCTATGGAAGATTATGATATTCAAATTTTGATGGATTCAGGTACTTTTGTTTTATCACAAAGTGAGAAACATACATACATTCATGTAAGTTCTTCATATTTAATTTCTTTAAATATAATACAGGGAAATAATATTTGGTGGCAACAATTTAAAAAGTGAAACAACACTTAACGCGAATTGGTACAAAATGTCAAAATGAAATTAATAGTCCTTCTGGGCAAATTGTCCCTTTGGACTAATAAATCTGAAAGCCTTCAGATTTTACATTATGGCCAAAGGGGCTTTTTTTAATGTTTTGTGTGCCTTTATTTATTAAATATCATATTCTTCGCACTTCAACCATAAAATTCAATTCAATAGCAATATCACAAAATAATTTTAAAATGAGCGCATCTTTAGAATTTCCGATACACAGTCTCAACAATGGAGATAACCCCCCCTTCGCCCAGTATTGCCATTGCATTTGAAATCGTTGAGTTTCTTAATGAAAAATTCGTTAGTGTTACAAAATATGAAATAGATAGTAAAAAAAAAAAAAAAAAAAAAAAAAAAAATTAAAATTTTAAATTAGAACTTCCAGATGCCCATATTGTTGAAGAGTATGTTATTCAAAATCTGATGGCTCTAGGTACCGTTGTTTTATCACAATGCGAAAAACATACATACATCAACTTTCATTTTTCCTATTCACAGCCACATTGTGCAGATTCTTCATTAATTAATTTCTTTAAAGATAACACAGGTCTCTAATATTTGGTGGCAACAATTTGAAAAGTGAACCAACATTTATAGTGAGTCAACACAAGATGAGAAAATGAAATTAATAGCCCTTCTGGGCTAACAAAATTTTCTTAATCTTACACTTTTTTAATACTTTCCTGTCTAAGCTCAGTGCCACTCAGGTTCAGCTTCTGATACTCTGAGCTATAGCAATTTTTATTGCCTTTTACTTTCCCACACTGAACTTTTATTTAAAAAAATATATAGGAATGGCCGTACCTAACTGATATTGAGCTAGAATCAGCTTTTTTTGTTTCTTTTTGAGATTTTTTTCATGTTTTTTTGCTTTCAACCATACATAATGATGTACCATGATGTATTTTTTTCATTTCTGTAGAACAGTTTAGATTTATTTCATTTTTCCTGCTCTTAAAATTGAGAAATGTCCCTAAAAAGTTATATAGTTTGATATCTATAAAAACAGAAAATGTCAAAAAAAGGTATTTTTATTATATTATAAAATATTTTTATTATTGTATTATAAAATAATAATTGATCTTATGTCTTGATTGAACTAGATACAGCCAAAGAATTATTCCTTGAAGATGTAAAGCTTCCAACAGAAGTTGTTAAATTCATAAACATTAATAAGTTACAAGATGTCATGCCAGATCTATGGTTTGCATTAAGAATGTTTACAATACCTATTACCGTGGGCACTGGCAAGAGAAACTTTGGTGACTAATAAAAAAAGCCCATTAAAACACATTTATGGTCACCATGTCTCAAGACAGATTGAATTCTTTCGCAATTTTGTCTACGGAAAATGATATTGCGAAGAAAATAAATGTAAAAAGTGCATGAAAACATTTGCTAATCTGGCTAGAAAAAAAGTTTTATGTAGGCTAAATTTTCATACTGTGTAAACACTGGTTGAGAAAAATAAAAATAATAATGTTCACTGTATGTTAAAAAAAGGAATAAGGCTAGCATAATTAAAAATTTTGACATACGCATTCTACATGTGGTATGATATGGAATATACGTGAAAGAAAAACATTACTTAAATTTAACAATAAATAAATAAAAACAATTAAAAATAATTTAACATACAACTTACCATGGGCCGTTTTAGAAAATAGTAACTTAAAATAGATTTACAGTCATTTGCCAAAAATGTTTCAACCATATAATCAATAGCTTTTTCGTCTTTGGTCATGCTATTATCATCAATGGAGCCAAGAAGAGTAGCAAATGCATCATATTTGGAATTTAGAGTAGATGTGTTAAGAATATTCCATTCTTGTATAGTTTTACTTGAGCATGTTATTTTTCCTCGTGCCTGAGCAAATCCAGCTTGCACATCTTCAGTCCATTTTGAGAGAAAAAAAGGCTCTTTCACTTTTTTTTCTCTTTTTTTCCTTTCTGGTTTTTTTGATAATACTGACCTTTCATTAACTGAAATATAAAAGTTTTTTTAAGTGATAGTACCATTTAAAAAATATTAACGTTTACTTAGCACATTAACAAAGAAGACATTATATGCAATACTAAGCTAATATGAAAATTATCAATAGAAGCATGAAATTTAAACAAATGCATATTAAACTATTCTATTGAGCAAAATTATGTTCAGAATAAAGAGCATATGTTTAAAACATCAATAAATGTAAAAAATATTATTCAAAAATATATTCTATGAAAATTTTTACTATATATAAAAATATATTATTTGAAGTGATGAGGCAACAAGAAACAGCGTATTAGTAATAATTTGCAGCAATCGTTTCGAAGTAAATATAGAACCTTCTTCTTTAGCTGCAGAAGTGCAAATGACGAAAAAGAAGCGCCTGTGCTTAGGCAATAACAGTAATAATAATAAAGTTCTACATTTGAAGCTTTGAAATAAGTGCTCCAAATTTATTAATATTATGCTGATTCTTGTTGCATTAAATACCTACATCAATCATTATTCATCATGTTAATTTTAATCCATAACAGTATATGTTAAGTTAGAAAAAATAATTTCATTGCATCAGAAATAATTCCACTATACAGTCAGGCCATACATTTGTTGATTCCAGTGGCTACATTTGCTGATTCTTGATTTTAACATACATCTTACAAAACATTTAAAAAAATAAATGGCTTACAAGGTATAACTGCATTCCAAATAAAACCAGATATTGCTTAGCTAAAATTTAGCAAACCAAATTAAATGTATTTATTCCATAGTTTTCACAACTTAAAAATAGATAAGCATAAAAGATTTGAATACACGTTTCATTGATTATACACAGCTTTGATGAAGAGCATCATTTCTATATTTCTGTCAGCCTTTAAAAGCAAACCTATATGTATCATACAAGTGGAATACGTTTTCACTGCTCTATTATCTTTTCAGAATTAGCATAAAATATAATTTTTGTATGTAAAGAAAAAGATTATAGACATGGTAACTATATGAGAGAAAGTAAAAAATCATTCATATTTTTACCATTCCATATCTTCAACTTTATCATAATACTTTCTGTACATGCATGCTTAAAAATGGTATTATTGTAATCACGTGTTCGAAGTGTGACTGATTATATTTTTCATGTTACTCTGACAGTGGCCACTTTGCTATGAGAGTACACCATGGAGAAATAAACAGCAGAGATCCAACTTCTCTGACAAGAAGATGAATCAGGCTAAAATTCATTAGAGGCTTTGGGAATGGTGTTCTACAGCAGCATTTCTAATACTTTAGGTTGTGATGCCAAATGGGCTTACAAAAAGAAATATTGGGGAGTCATAAAAATTTCATGCAGATACATGAATTTTAAAGGAACATGCTGCTAAGCACATCATAATAGTGGTATTGTATTGCAATTTCAGCATGTATTGAATGTTATGCATGTTGCAATTGACCAGTACGTAACATCCTGCACTACAAAAATGTGGCGTGAATAAGGTTGGTGTTGCTGTGGCTATAGCCTGTTGCTTTAAAATAGGAATTTAAAGGTTATTTCACACTGTCAAACTTGTTTGTTGGACAGGCCTCTAAAAGCTTATGGCTGAATTATCGGACGGAGAGCTGGGGCTTCCCGTTTGTAGTAACAGCCAAACTTTTATTGCAACCATGGGAATTACAGCTGTTACAGATGATTTTTTGAGTGGTCCAATTTTTGTTCCTCCACTCCATTTCTATTTAGCCTGTTTCACTTCATGAAAAGCACCTGGATGAAAGCAGATAAGATGGAAAAAATAAGTGTTGTGAGATGACGATGACATGCATGATGATTGCAAATGGGGGAAGACTGGAAATGGTCTTGAAGTACCTGTTTTAAAGGAACAGACTGTAGTGTAGTGATAACACTTTTCCAGTACAGTCAGTTGTTTCTGTTTCATCACAAGAAAAATAGATTATTGTGTTTTGTTGTTTACTTCACCTAAAGTTGGTATTTACCGGATCTTTTATATATACTTTAGGATAAAAGTACTTTTACCCCTGGATAAATGGTTGAACTTGAGTAACAAAGATAATGATATAGATGGCTATGCTACAAAGTCATTTTAAGCAGGATCTTGTAATCAGAAAGAGGTATCTAAGACCTCTTAAAAATAAAACATGACAAAAGATTTCTGCAACTGTAATGGAACAACTCTTTAATTTGCAATAACACTTTGAAGAATATAAAACCATCAAAATTAAAAAGGCATCCAGAATCCAAGCATCTCTTAATATGTCAATAAATCAAAAAATAAATTTCAAATGACAATTAAAACTTTCAAATAAAGAAAAACAATATTTTGAGAAATTTATGACTGTTAGCGAAAAATACTTGCTTGCATCATAAGAAGCTTCCTATCAAATTGGTATAATTAAAAAGCCACATAGCATTCGAGAAGATCTTAATGCTATTAAAATAGTAGTAATGCTTCCTGGTGATGAAATTCAGAAAATTTCTTAATCAAGTGATACTTTTGCCCACAGAATTTCTGAAATTAGTAAACCCCACTTTGAACAACTTATTACTAGGCTTAAAAGAAAAAGAGTTTACATTTATTTGGATGAAGCAAATGATATTTCAGAAATAGCTCAGTTTATTTATAAATTTATATATACAGCCAGTTACATTTATAAAGATAACATTGATGAAAAACTGTTATTCTGTCATTCTTTGGAAGAATACACAAGATGGGTAAAAAGATATACAGTAAAGTTGATGAATTTTTTAAAACTGAATGTTTAGAATAGAAAATTTGTACTGGAGTATGTCAGAGAGTGCAAAAGCAGTGATAGGTGAAAATATTGGTTTCAGATCATTTGTTAAAAGTTGCTGGTAGAGTTAACTTTTACAATCTGCCTGATCCATCAAGAGGCCTTGCAGCAAAAAACATTAGCAACACATTTGAACAATGTGCTTCAGGATGCTATGAAAATTATAAACTTTATTAAAAAGCATACTCTTAACGACTGCTTATTTACAAATCTTTGTAAAGACATGGAGTTCAAAAACATTTTTCTTATTACTTACAGAAATAATATGGATGTCAAAATACAAACGTTTTTTATTACATGCAGAAGTAAGATGAATGTCAAGAGGGTAAAGTTTAAGAATATTACTGATATTAAAAGATGAAATTGTTATATTTTGAATTGAACAAAAGTCTGGTCATGCTACTCTTTATTAAAACAATTTACAGCTATCAAAGCTGAGCTATTTGTCAGATAGTTTTAAAAAACTAAATAATCTCAACTTGTCTCTTCAAGGAATAAATAGCAACATGTTTACTTCAAATGATAAAACTGAAGATTTTATTTAAAATATCAACATTTGGAAGAACATGGTGAAAAATGATTTATTCAAAATATTTTGAACTGAAAAATTTGAAAAATTTTATAATTAAAAAAAATAATTGTAAAATTATAACTGCAAAATTATTATAGATCACTTAAAAACTCTACAAACACAGTTTTGCAAACAGGTTACATTGAATGTTGATTTCAAAAAGTTATCTTGGACTCAAAAAACCTTTTTCAGCTTATATTAATGAGGTTAATCACCTAGCATATAAAGCCCAGGAAGAATTTACTGAGCATCGAGTGACTCAAAACTTGAATTTCCACAAAAGCCCTTGACTTAATTCCCGATCACAGCTAAAACTGCACATCACACAATCTTTGAAATGACATTAAATGTTTTTCTACCGTTCAGCACCACATATGTATGTGAAATGAGTTTTTTTAGCTTTAATGCTTATTAAATCCGAATATCTTTCAATACTGAAAAAGGATGAAGACGTTTTATATCCATCCAGCAGAGGCAGCTATTGTACCAAGATTTCATTTGTTACTCAACAAGAATACTTATTAAATCCGAATATCTTTCAATACTGAAAAAAGGATAAAGATGTTTTATATCTGGCAGGGGCAGATATTGTACCAAGATCTCATTTGTTACTCAACAAGAAACAAGCACATATGTTTCATTTTAATATGATATTCTTTCATTTATTTTTGTATACTTAGAAAAAAAAAAAAAAAAAAAAAAAAAAAAAAAAAAAACCTTAAAATTCCTACTTTTCATGTGCATGTTGTAAAGAAAGAAAGATATTGTTTATGGGAATATATTAATTTTTGTATCCTTAGTTTGTATTTAACATCTAGGATTGCAAAAAAGAAAAGTCTTGGTGACAAAAGAGATCATCAATGAAAAAAGTTTAAGATGTGCACAGAAATTAATTTGCATGGATATAGAAGTGACAGAAAAATGTGAAGCATAAAGAGGAAGAAGGGAGCAGACAATTCCCCACCATTGATGAGAAAAGGATTCAGCCTACTTAAAAGACGATATTAGCCAACTGCTTATCAGATCATCTACAATGAGCTTGGCCTCCATAAAATTTGTAAGACATAAATGACAAAAGCACTTAATACAGAGCCCAAATGCAAGAACATTGAAATTATAAAGCAGTTGTTGAGTTGAAAAATGCTAAAAAGACCTTGTCTACAGCACAGATGTCAGCTTTTCCCACACTACCATTGCTTTGAATTTCCAAAGATGTTTTACGGGGTTGTCATTTTCCACAGACAAAAAAGTGAGGCAAGTATACATATATGATTGCACGACTATTCAAAAACCTTCTTCTTGGAAAGAGACCACTGAACCAAATGCATCCAAACGGAAGGCAATTATGTAAAAAACTGACATACATGTTCAAACTCTTTAATAAACTGAGAAAACAAGAGTGTGGTTCATTTCTAACTTTCTCTCATATAATGCTGGATGACTACAAGTACATTAATCCAGTATTATTTATCACTTAAGTATATAAATAGTTTTTAGTGTAAAATTTCTCTACAAAGTTTTAGAACTGTGTGCATTTTAAGAAACAATAAAATGTTGATGCATAACACTTTCTGCATATGAATCTGCAGTTTTTTAGCTAAAAGTAAATAAATAAATTGTAAGCATCTTCACTCATTAGTTCTGATAGTCTGAGTATTGTCAGGAATTGGTCAAGGGAATAAACAGTTCAGATAAATTATGTTTTAAGTTTCGAAAACTGACAACTAAATCCAATGAAATGTCGAAAGACAGTATACAACGATGCTGCAATTCTCTATTCTTGTATTCTTGAGAGATATTCATAGTTTTCCAACATAAGAGAAAGTTTACATGATCATTTAGATGTATGATGCTAAATGCTTTCTTTGATCAGCAGAGATTAAACACATTATGATTTTGCTTCAAGTTAGGCTATCAAAATAAAATATTATGTTGCAGATTTGGATAGACTCGTGAAAAGAGTACATGGTATCAGATCAAAGTTTTAGAATAGAGACACCTGATGTTTTGAATGATAACCAAGACTATAACAGATCTTGAACAAACAGATCACAGAAACACTCTCTTTATTTGGTGTCATTAGACTATTTTCTATTTCCAAAACTGAAATTCAATATAAAAGGGCACTAATTTCTTTAAATAAATAAGCGTCAATAAAGCGTCACTCCAATGATAAATATAAAGTGTCAATTCAATAAATATATCTTCAAACAATTATGTTATTTACTTTAACAACTTGATTATTTTTCTTTAACAGAACTTTAATTTTCATTCTCATGATTTGTTTCTTAGCACTAACATTAGACCTAAAACTGTTTAGATAAAACTTGTATTATCTACAGCTGCAATATTAGTTTCTCGAAATGCATGTCATTTTATGCATTTAATGTATATTATTATAAATTAGTCACTTCTTTTTTATAATTTTTTCTCTCAGTCATTTATGTTACACAAGAATACCTTTTTCCTGGATAACACCATCATTCACCATTTTGAGATATCTTATTAGTGCAAAACTTGCATTTACTGCAGCATATTGCATCAACATTTTAATGCACACAGCCTATTCTTTTGTTTTTTCATATCGTGTTATATTGCATTTAAATCATTCAGTTATCATCCACCTGAATCAACATCAAGGCACAGTAAATCATCAATCATGAAAGTTAACATTCCAGGCAATGAAAAATATTTAATTTATCCTCTAAATTACATTTTATGGCTATTTTTTCCCCTCAGTTTTCCAGTTTATTCTGATGCAGTGAAAATTAGACACAACAAATATTCACCTGTCATGTGGCAGATTCTAAGATTTTGTAGATGCATCATGTATGTAATAATGCAACCAATCTCTTCTCATGTGATGGAAGATGACAAAAAACTTCCCACAGTTTTCAGCTGATATAGCTTGGATAATTTGAATGAGATAAGACCATAAAGTCCTTCATATACACTAATCATTCAAAATACACTCATAAAACCATACAATAAATATTGATTGACTTAAATTTCACCAAATGTTTTCCCTCAAACCCTACAATTTTTACCTAGAAAATTGTGGAGCAACATATGTAGAGAGAGAACAAAGACAGAAGATAATGTATGCCTCTCCCTACTACGAAGCTTTAAATGCCATACTAATATTTTCAAAAAATTATTGACAATGCTCCTGATAGTGCCCTCAAGAGCATTAGAGAAACTGAAATATTTGAGAAACTACAGGTTGGGTAGGCAAACAAGTCGACTAAACAATGAAATATGGATTTCTTTTTATCTCCCTGCACACTCTCAAACTGTTTGTGCATAGAGATGAATTTGCTTTCATTTCTCTGTACTAAATGCAGAAATTATTATCTTATTACTTTTAGAAATTTTTTTCTCTTAGGAAGATTTAAGTTTCAGACCACTGAAAGATTTCTCAACAAGATTCTACTGTAATTCAATAAACTGGAAAAAAAAAAAAAAAAAAAAGTATAAAGTGATAACGAAAACTTCTATATTAGCAACATGGCACAAAATTGGAAAATGGATTAGTGCAGTACCATAAACTATTGTTCCTGACAGCCTTCTTAATTAGTGTAATAAAAGTATTTGGATTGAATAAGCATGTTCCTGTGCTGTGCATTTTGTTTAATCAGTATCACATTATTATCTCATTATCAAAGACAAGATACTCAAAAAGCGTGCATAAATGGAATTTTACATCAAAATTGGTACAAGTCTTACTGGAAATACATATTTGCAAGTGCTTTGAACATTTAATAGACAATCAAAAAACATTTGGAGAAAATGAAGAGACTTTTACAAAAAGTAGCCTAAGAAAGTATTCATAAAATTTGAATATTAATTCCAGTAGACCTCCAGTGAAGACACCTGCAGATAATAAGACAGCTCTTTAATTCAAGCATCCATCAAAGTGTTTTACTTATCAAGGAAGGTAGAAGGAGAAGGTTCCTGCATATCCTTTCTCTCTCCATCCTCCTGATTTAGCAATCCACAATTCTTTTATCTTTCAAATAAAGAAGGACAAAAGATAGAAAATATGGCATGGTTTGAATAAAGAACAGATGAAGATTCAGCAGAACTGCATGAGAAAAAAGTGTGTTTAATAGGCATTGTAACATTGGCAGAATTTCTGGGACTTCTGCATTAACTTCAAAAGGAAATTACTTGAAGATAATGACAATGAAATTTCAGTTAAGTTGGTCCCTTTTTATGCAGCTAATTAGAACATTTTGTGACACTATTTCGTATAAACTTTTGCATATTTCTACACCAAAAGTCCAGACAAACATTTCTTACTTAAAATGTAAAACTATAAAGCTATACATTTTGCATAACTTTGCTTTACATAAAATTATTAAAAAAAAAAAAAAAAAAAAATTGATAAATGTTAACATCTTTAATGACCAAATTAATGAGTTTTAGATTTAAATTCAAAATTATATTAATCACTTTAAAATCTTCAAATAAAAGAATTACTTTGCAAAAGAGTTAAGAAATTTAACATTTTAAATCTTGCTTTTGCTTATAGTCATCACAATTAAATGTTTATCCTTACCATCTAATATTTTTTTTACTGTAGAATTTGGAGGTAACAAGTTTCGATCAAGAACACCATCACTTGTTATAGCATGAGAAATATTCTGAACGAAAACATTGCTAAAAAATAAATAAACATTTTTAATGAGTAAATGTACACATGCTAAAAAAAGAGAAAACAAAACAGCTGGAAGATTTCAATTATTGTTATCACTTGCACTGTTATCACTATCACACACTTTTGTTATCACTTGCACTTTTATTAAATAAAATATTCATCCACATGTAAAATATTCAGATAATGCAAATATAACCAAAATGAACACAATAGAGTAACAGTTTTATATGAGCTTTCTTAGCATCAAAATTTTATTATAGGAACTATCTTTCTCTCAAATAAAAGATAAGGAACCCTAAGAAATCATAAGAAACAATGAAGGAAACGGGGAACTTATGATTAACATATATTTTTTTTTTATCGAGCAGTTTATGAAATAATAAAATAATACAGAATTCAAAATTAATGTTAACTTTTCTCAATAAATCATATTTTTAGTAGCTTAATTCCTCTTCTTCCATTTGTTTTGGCTGATGAAATCTGACTGTAATTAATCACCTACAGAAAAAGTGTATGCTCATTTTCAGAACACTAACAACAGAATGACTCTTCTAATTCAAAGCCAAATTTTGTTTTGCAAATAACAGAGAAAATATTACATATTATTTAAAAGATAGTAAAATCTGGCATTTTCATTGATCATATTTATATTATGATTATTTTATAGTTTCAGGACACTGAAAGACTTCTCAATGAGATTCTACTGTATGGCAGTAGGAAAACCCACATTTTAGTTTGTATTTTCTTTTTTCAAACATTTATTTGAATGATAGCGAGAATGTTTTTCCTATAAGAAGACATGCACTACAGGAAATTCTCATATTATGTGATTAATTTATTCTTGAATCAATATGCATTAAATAAATGCAATAAATGATACAAATAATTACAATTTATTTATCAGTTAAAGTTAATACAATTTATGGCATAATTTTATTAATACCTGAATATTTGATACGGTTATTTAAAGACGAAGAAACCTATACTAAAGTTAGTACTATAATATATGGCAATGAGATACAACTTTCATGAATTATACTTACAGAGTAAGGATTTATAAAAATAAAAATTAGATAAAATTAAATTGTATCAAAACAGCATTACAATAAAAACTTGGTTTAAAGACTATCAAGGGATTATTGAAAATTATCATTAAATAAATGAGCCATGCTAATTAAATTTTAAATATGTACTATATTATAAAATGCTAAAAACTTGTTTGCACTTATCAGACCTGGCTCTTTTATGTTTTATGTACACATCCATAGCAAAAATATTGCTTCATATAAAAGTCTTTAATAAGAAAATCACTTGATATATGTTCTGGGTTTGACCAATGAAAATGATTAATTTAAGATATCTTTAAATTGGGTACTGTTGAATTAGATGGCTTCAAATTTGGGCTAAACTACATTATTAAAGTAAGGAAATAATTAATACTGGATTATTTAATAAATTAAATAATCTAGTTTTAAATATTTGCTGAATTGCCTATGGGCAAGGTACATAAGGCTATTATCCTAATTAATTCTGATTAAAAGCCCTGACAGATATGAAATCACTTTTGTACCCTACAACTCCTATTACCAAACTCTTAAGAAAAAATTTAGAATAACACATTTTAAGTACCCCCATTCCACTAAAACACTGTAGATATAAATAGTCATACATACATAACAATGAATATATTTTCTCACATGCCACCCAGACTGGAAAGTGGTTGGTGATTCTGACTACCACACCGAAGGGCCTGGGTTCGAATCCTGAAGAAGGCATAGGTGTAAATTGTCCATCCCTTCAAAGGAGGCAATGCTAGCCCACGTATTAGGCCCATATCACACATGCATTTGTTTCATATAAACAACTGTTTCAGACAATCTTTCTGCCCAATTTACTACTGAAAGAAATATGTGCGATTTTTTTCTTCTTTTCGAAAAAAATTGCAAGTTGTTTGCTTTCAACCAATCAACTATCAGCTTCAAATGCTGTCAGCTTGTTTGTAATGGAGAACCAGTTTCCCCTCTACATGTTAACCCCAAAGTGATTTATGGTGATAATAATACAACAAATGTGTAAATAAATGTATATTTTATGAGAATCCAGTAATGTTGTATGAAAAATCAATGTCAAAATACAGTAACTAAGAGGACACACATATATATATGACATACACATATACATGTGTAAATAAAGTAGTTCATAATTTGTTATTAACCCTTAGCGCTCCATTGGCTCTGCTACAGAGCCTTCCGTCATTTGTTCCGTAACTCTGTAGGCTCCGCTGCGGAGCCCAATGTTTTTAGCATGATTAGGCTTAAGAAGTTAAGGAATCGTCGGCATTGGCAATTGTTATCTCTAGTTAAAACGTGCTCAGTCTCACTACTGTTATGATTGAAACATTATTTAACCCACTTTATGGTTAGCAACATGGAGAAAAATAATTATTGTGATGAGAATATAGAGTTGAGCGATAGTGAAGATGTGTTTGATTTTTCATTGTTAGAAGATATTGTGGAAGACAATGTTGATTATAATTCTGACACTTCAAGTAGTGGATCCGAAATTATATTACCAAAGAGTAGTTATGGTAGTTATTGAAAGTGAAAGTGAAGAGTTGCCGGAAAACTTAGATGAATTGCGCGATGTCACGGAAGAATTAAGATATTCCGAATAGAATACATTTTAATGTATCGCCAAAGGTCATTGGACCACAAATTCCTACAAATATTGTACAGTCGACACAATATTTCAAACTATTTTTCGCAAACGAACTGGTAAATGAAATTATAAAAGAAACCAACAATTATGCAGAAAATGTTCTAAAGAATAAAGAAATATCTAGTAATTATTTGGAAAACGTGGCGTGTGGTGGAAGAGGATGAGTTTTGGGCTTTTATTGGAGTTATTATCAATATAGGTACGATACCTCTGGCGAATATGCACGATTACTGGTCAGTTAAGGAGAATAGTCACATCCCTTTCTTTGATAAAATATTTACAAGAAAGAGATTTATGCAGATATTTGGATGCTGCATTTAAAAACACCGGATCCTGCGAAAATGTGCCAGAGTTGCTGGTAGGCAGTGGTACAAAAACATGCAGAACGCTAAGGGTTAAATTATAATTACAGTCTCACATTGCCTCCTTTAAAGGACTTAATGATGCTAAAGCAAAGTTTAAAGTTTATAAAATTAAACATTTAGCAGTAGTAGCAATAAAAGCTCCCTGAGATAATATGTTGTGCAGACATTGAAGACAATAAAAAGGTTTCAAACTTAACCAATTTATTAACAATATAATAAAGAATAAAAACACAGAAAATAAATTTAAACAATATCAGAGTCTTAGGAAAAATAAATATAATATAACCATCATTCATCAAATAATATTTTTACCTGGTCTCCAAAAACACTGGCATTCAATACAAACAAAAATGTCCTAAACAGTAATTATGCGGCCTCAAAATGAAATTGGCTACACATTCAAAAAGTCCAATATAATAAAGAATAAAAACACAGAAAATAAATTTAAACAATATCAGAGTCTTAGGAAAAATAAATATAACATAACCATCATTCATCAAATAATATTTTTACCTGGTCTCCAAAAACACTGGCATTCAATACAAACAAAAATGTCCTAAACAGTAGTTATGCGGCCTCAAAATGAAATTGGCTACACATTCAAAAAGTCCATGATCAATGGTCGAGAAAACACCTGAAATTTAAATCAAGTTCTAACTCCGTTTGCATTAGTTGAACACGAGGAATCGCCGCTAACGTATTTTAAATGCCACCTTCATGAAGAACATGGATGCCGCCCATGGCAGTAACTCATATGGTAGCCTCTGGAACCAAGAAACTTATTCTGGAGCAATCATCTTGTATAGAGGAACCAAGGAACTAATTCTGGAACAATCATCTTGTGGATAGGAACCAAGGAACTTATTCTGGAACAATCATCTTGTATACAGAAACCAAGGAACTTATTCACCGGACTGCACGCATCCTTCTGAAGGGGCTGGAAACCGCACACCCAAGTGCCAGGAAAGCAGGAACTAGAAGGGCTGAGCCAGAGTGACGCGAGATACTTATAGCAGAAGTAGGCATGACGTCATCTCACGGTAACCAATCGGCTTTCCAGATGACGTAACATCAACAACACTTAACATTTTCCAACACTTAACTTTAGGAAACCATACAGTGTTGGAAATTATATTTCCACACTTCATAAAAAACGTTGAAATTTTGCACTTATAGCCATTTTATTGTTTTCTAGCTTCCCAAAATGATACTTTTGAGGTGGATTATCCATCTTGGAAATATCTTTCAAGAACTTCTCAGTAAAAATCTTGGTTTACTGTTTGGCCTATAGGCACAAACTCTTTGTGGATGATTCCTATCAAAACGCAAATCAGCATACTCTTGATTTTTGACTTGCTTATTCTTGTTCTTTTTTTGGTCATGGTGAGTTTGACATATGCCATTCCCAGCCCTGTTGCTTCATTTCTGGAACACTCAAGACTCGTCACCAGTAATGATATGTTCCAGAAAATGAGGGTCATTTTAAAATCACCCCGAAAAATCAAGGCATTTTTCCCTCTTGTTGTTCTTTTGCTCCTACAAAAAGGATTTTCGGATGAATTTTTAGAACGATTATTTTCATCCCCAATTCATTCATCAAAATCTGGTGAATAGTGGTGTGATTCAAATTTAACATTTCTCCGATCATTCTGACTATCAAGCGATGAAAAGAACACAAAAGTTCCCAAGTTCCAGCAATATTTTTGTCAGTTTTTGCAGTTCCAAGACTATCCTTATATGTTTCATTTTCAACAGATTCCTTTCCTTCTGAAAATGCCTTAAACCATCTAAAACCTGGCCCCTGACAAAATCTTGTCTCCATAAAGTCTGAAGCTTTCCAAAAGTATCTGTCACACCATGTTCCAAGTCTTAAGCAACACCTGATTGCTCGCAATTGATATCATTCATTTTCAGAACGCACTTGGGGGGGGGGGGAATTCCTACACAGTCTACTCAGTTCAAGCACATAAAAGTGTGCATCAAATGTTTCCTTACTCTTCCTTCCAAGCAGTTGCCAAATTCGGCAATGGTCCAGTGTTGCCAAATTGAATGCTATGCTTCTAATCTTGTCACTTTATTCACACATCTTGTATAATATATATATTTGTGCATGTGAAATACCTATAAAATAAATATAAAACATATATGACTTTGAATTTATCTTCTATATGCCGTCTGTTCAACAGCGGCACGCGATAAACAATCAATCAATTACAGACTTGCGCCAGAACTGCACGGTAAACATTATTTTCTTTTTCTTTTTTCATTAGTTCTATCATTATTAGTCCTATCTGACATTAACTTCACAGCCATTGATACTGGTTCACGTGCAGCACACATTTACTTACTAAATTATATTGCTACATTTTATACCACAGTTTGTAGTGCATATTATTTGTGTTCCTTTTCTTATTCATTCAGGCAGATGTTAAACTGGAAGAGAAACATGGCAGCAAAAAATTTTTAATTTGGCAAAACAGCAACTTTATTTTAGCACTGATTAGGCAAAAATTTTCTGCTCCCGAAGAAGAAGGACCTGTTTTAGATCACCCTGAAAATCGATAATTTTATTCAAAAATCTATTACTGTTTTGCATAATTCTAAAATCAAGTAAATATTTTTATGGTTTTATTTATATTCTACATATATACATAAATCTAAGCAAATGATAACAATTTATTAATTTGGAAGTCAAACAACAAAAATCAGCATTATATTTTCAAATTTTCACAGGACTAGTTTCGATGGTTTTATAGAACCATCATCCTCAGCTGCAAAAGCGCAAATGAACGAGATAAGATAAGAAAGCCTGGGCAGGAAATAAGCTACTGGTGCCTTCTGTTAATGAAACCAGAATTAAAACATAATTTCTTTAAAGGCTGAAGGCAAAGATGGATTGGAATTAGGGTCGTTAACTAGAATAGAAAGATTTTTTTGAATGTGAAATGCCTCCAGAAAATCCAGTTCACCAATCCAATGGAAGATGATTTTTGAATAATTTTGGCAGCAGAAAAATTCAAAGTGCGATTTTCAGACCAACAATGTTGGGTAACAGAAGACTTCTGTATTTCTTTTTTTCTAACATATCCTCATGTTCCTTAATGCGAAATTTTAAGGCTCTCTTAGTTTGGCCAATGTAAATTAAACCACACTGACAAAGAATCCTGTGCATTTTTGTATCTTGCTAACAATTAAAGATAAGTCAGAACTAAGAAAATTCTATTTCACTTAATTTAAAAGAAAACAAACTTACGGAGTGATGTCAAGTATAGATAGTCTTCCGATAACAGAATCAACATCATTATTATCCTCGGGCATCCCAGGTGAATCAGGAATAGTATTAAGAACAACTGGAAAACTTGGATCTCTCATCTAAAAAACAATAGAAAGCTTTAGTAGCAAATAACATGAATAAACAAACACAGTTACAGTTTCCCCGACAGAAAAATCTGAAATTTAAATTAATTTTTGTGCCCAATCCAAACAATTCATTAAAAGAATAAAAATGAGATTAAAGTTCGAAAACAATGAGAGCAAAGAAAAACATTCAGTTAATTTCTACATCAACTTAAATAAACAGTAAAAAACACATGTAAATATTCCACTCTGCCTGTAAAAGATTTTAGCCCGTGTACATGAAAAAATCTTATTTAGTGCAGGTTCTTTAATTAGCTTTTTAATTTTAAATCTTTTTCTTCATAAAAATTTACAGGTTAAATAAAACACTAATTATAACAGCAACTTTTAGTAATATTAATATATTATTAAAACTTATTATAGCACTAGAATACTTAACATCACATTAAAGAGATACTCTACACTTTCCTGATGACCAAAAGTGGTTAAAAATATGCTGTAAAGAAATAAAGTTTGAAAACCAGCTGAAGGCCCATAGACTCTATGTATACATATAAGACATTATATTCCTGCTTTTAATTTATGCAATAAATATCCATTTGAAATGCACTTCTCTTTAATGACATTAAAAAAGACATATTCTTATTGATATTTCAACTAGTTCTTTAATTTACTACGCACCACACAAATGTTTAAAAATATTCTTTTAACAGATAATGACTAATCTTACATAATATTTTAAAATACATAATTATTTTATGCCTGCGTCCTTCCTACATTCTTTTAATCTGTTCAGGACCACCATCACGTATACGCAAAGCAACAATTCCACTCCTATCAGCCCAGCATTCCGTATACGCAACAAAACGATTCTGCTCCTACAAGCCCAGCGTCCTGTATACGTGACATTAAAACGGAACAGTTTATTTGAATTTTTAAAAGCCACATGCTTTCCCAACATATTTGATTCATATGGCATTTGACCTTCATGTACTGGCATTAGTTTCTGTTTTGTGCTTCTGGTTTTGAGAGATTTATTGAAATAAACAAACTGGAAATCACAGCTTTTTATAATTGTGCCTGTGAATTAAAGGAGCACAGGCATTTTTGTATATTTCTTTAGATTTTTTCTTTTCCTGTTTATTTTGAAACTTAGCATAAGCTTTCTTGGTTAATTAAAAAGTAACATTACATTATTACAGAAGGGGAAATACTATCGGCTTTCACGACGCGTTATGCATCTGGCTCGCATTTCTAAGGGAAGAGCCAGCGTTTTTATTTTTCTTACTCGATTTAACAGGTCAGACACAGGAGTTATATTTTGGTATATAATGTATTTACATATAATGCAATTATATATAATATATATATTGACATGATCAGTAACGGATATCCGGCCAGTGGGGCTCTTTCCTTGATCACTTTCTGGTCATCGTGAACACCGTTTTCAATTTAGAAAAACAGGAAGTTTTCTAATATAAACCTGATGTCACACAGGGTCTGAGGATGAAATATTTCTGAGTGTCTTTTTGAAGAAGTTTTGGGACATGTGTTGAGGTTATATTCAGCTCCATTCTGTTAACCATGGCTAAGAGACCTTACTTAATGTAAAAATTTGTCCAAAATCACCGGACACTCCACCTTTCCATCTAATTGGCAGACAGTTTCCGAAAATTTACATTAATGGAAAAGGTAATAAAGGTAGAAGAAGATGAGTTGTGTGCACTAAAACCAAGGAAAAGTGAAAGCAAACGACATATTTTGAGTGCGAAATATGCAATGTAGGACTGTGTGTCGATCCTTGTTTTGAGTTATTTCACACACAGTGAAATTTTTAAATTGGAATTTAATTAGCTATAGGTAATTCTTGTCCACCCTCCCATATTTAATTTTTTTTCATGTTTATAGTATTTATTTCTGTGTGTATAGTTATGATTTTAGTATTTTGCCTGTTTAATTTATTTATATTAATGTGATATTCTTTATATTATTACACATTAAAAACAAGTACATTAAATATGCAACTTCAAAAATTGAAGTCATAATATCAAAATGCTGATATACGATTTTATTTTGTAAAATTAGGCTTAACTGTTGAAAATGCGAGGGCTGGTGGCGACGATCCATTTCAGCGGGTCCGGTTCCATGACTGCGCTTCAATGTCCCGGCGCTGGTCCTTAAGGGGTTAATGTAGCTATAGATTTCCATTACTCTAATACCATCATTAATCCTAAGTTTAGTCATTAAGTGATGGATCACTGAAAGTTGATCAATGAAATATAACTTCAGCATACCTGGCAACTTTGAAATATTAAAAATGGGGAGAAAATCAGGAGAAGCCAGGAGGTCACACAGTTTGGTGACACCATTTCAGAAGATCTCCAAACTGACTGTAATTCACTTTAAAATGCATGGTTCAGGTTATTGAACTAGTTTTAATTCAATTCTGAAGTAAAATATATTAGCATTTAACTGGGTATTTCTTCAGGTAATTTTATTTATTAATTCTACAACACATTTATACTAAGAAAATCCTGACTAGTGAAAGAAAGCCTTTATTTTTTAAAGAATTTTTAAATAGGATGAAAATAAAATTACTTATTAATGTACACTGCACCCCTATTCTATATCTCCGGTTCTACTGTTGTCCGGCAGTTTGACGAAATTCAAATTCCCATGCTTCGAAAACACAACTTGGGATATATATTAGATTTATATATAGCTTTGTTCTAACATAGGTATTTTGACACAAAAACCAGACTTTTTCTGGATTAACATACCAATTTTTTTCCATACTTCAATTCTATGACTCAAATTATGCCTAGATATTAAATTTTGTAATTTTTGGTGAGAAATTTAAAAATTTATCTTGGCGAATTTTTTCAATTTGAGTCAAGAATAATTCACTTGGTGAACTTCTTAATTTATAGCAAACTATTTTTCTTTCCTTTTTCTTCATTGTCTACGAGCGGGAAAAAAAAGTTCATACTTTCAAATAATTTTAACAAAGTGCATAAACCACATTTTTGTTATTATCGCTTATAATAAATAAGCCAAATTTCAAAACGCACTGAAATGTAAATTCACGTACCTCTTACGAAATTTTGAATAAAAACTCTAATTTTTTGCAGATATGTTTAGAAAACATCTACTTTAAGATGACGGCAAAACTTTTATATGTTACAATTCAAAAATTTTTTGAAAAATTTATAAAAATTAGTTAAAAATAAAAATTTTAAAATAAATCATAAAAAATAGGTGAATTTTATTTGGAATAAACTTATATTTCAAAATATGAAAAGAAGAATCAAATAAGTTTAATAAAAAAGAGCAAAATTAATAAATATATATCAAATTCAATTAACACTGAGGAGTTAAAATTTTTAGAGCTATTTTTTAAAAACTACTCAGACAATTTTTACAAAATTTGGCAGGTTGGCATAATTCGAGTCGTATAATTGAAAAATGGAAAAAACTGGCATGTCTTTTCAGAAAAAATCCGCTTTTGTGTCAAAATACCTGTATTAGAGCAATGCTATATATAAATCTAATACAAATCCTAAGTCACGCTTTCCATACATAAAAAACTCAAGTTGAATTTCGTCAATCGGCCCAGTAGAACGAGAGAGATAGAACTGTCCCCCCCTTTTTTTTGATGCAGTGTACATAGTATTTTTGTGGCTAAAAATAGTAATGTCTCATACACTAAAGTAAACAAAATTAAATCCAAATATTAAATGATTTAATATTGCTTAAATCTTCATATAAAAATCTACAAATGTCTACAGTAAATTAAGACAACTCAGGTTAAATGAAATTTAATAAGACATGGATCAATAAAATGTAATAAGAAAAAATGCACTAAGTTGTCTGCTAAGCAAAAACCTGCCCTTGAATCACAAATGCACTCCTGAAGTGGTGGTTATCGATCTGTATTCAAGTTTGACCTTAGTGAAGCTAGCATTTCAGATTACAAATGACATTCATCTGAACAGATGGTGCCACTAGCAATATTTTCCACTCAGCTACACGTAACTTATCGCTACAAAGTTATAATAATACTTGCTCTGCAAATTATTTCTTTGAAACTCTGGTCTCTTCCAATGTACGTAGCGTATTCGGAAACTAAGTACCGTTTCATTCTAGCGCCATCGCAGCGCTGTGGTAGGCGTCCCGCGCATGCGTACTAGTCTTTCTTGTTCACTGACTTTCAATTGTTGCCATTTTGGTTGCTCTATGTTGTGTTTTCAGTTTGCTGTGCACATTCAAAATGTTTAAGACAATTAATTCTCCCGCTGACTGTGAAATTCATGCCGTGATTAAATTTTTGAACGCGAGGAATCTTAAACCAGCCGAAATTTATCCTCAAGTGACAGAAGTTTAAGGTGAATACGCAATAAGTGATGGAATGGTGAGAAAGTGGGTAAGAATGTTTAATGCAGGTCAAACAAATGTTCCAAAAATGCTCACTGATGTTCACAAGACAAAGCGACTTAGTAGTGCCCTGACATTTCTCACGTGGTACAGTGATGAGGGAAAAAACTTTTTAAACCAAATTGTGACAGGTGATGAAACTTGGATGTGTCATTTCACACCAGAAACGAAACAAAAATCGATGGAGTGGAGACACACTCATTCTCCAAAAAAACAAAAGTTCAAAGTGACAATGTCATCACAAAAAATCATGTGCACTGTCTTCTGGGATAGGAAAGGCATTTTGCTTACTGAATTTCTTCCCAGAGGTGAAACCATTAATGCGGCACGATATTGTGAGACTTTAACAAAACTAAGGTGTGCTATTCAAAACAAACGAAGAGGAATGCTCAGTAAAGGAATTGTGTTGCTCCATGACAATGCTCGGCCCCATACTGCTGGTGTCACTCAATTGTTAATTCGACAGTTTCATTGGGAGCAGTTCGATCACTCGCCGTACAGCCCGGACTTGGCGCCGTCTGACTATCACTTGTTCCTGCACATGATGCGCGAGCTTAGTGGCAAGCGCTTTGGATCTGACGACACGAAAAATGCTGTGGAGTCGTGGTTATTGAAACTGGCAGGAAGTTTCTTTGACGATGGTATCCAAAAAATCCCAGTGTCTCTACAGTGGCACCCGAACTAAAAGGGTTGTGGATGATGATTCTCCTCACCCAGTATTTGGCGATTAGGCTCCCTAAAAACCCTAGTTGCCCTTTAAAAGGGGAAGCATATGCCTTCATGGTGTGGTGGTCTGCATGCTGGGCACGTATTTCAGAGGTCCATGGTTCGATTCCCGGCGAAGGCGTTGTTAATTTTTCATTTTGTCTGCTTCCAAAAAATCCTAATGTTTCTAAAGTGTAAAGGACATGAGATTTATCTGTCTAAGGAAAGGAATCAATAAATTTTTCAACACTGCTTCTGGAACTAAATGCAACTGTGCCAGCTCACCTCAACCAGCTTTCTGTAATACACAGGTGAGTGGACTCACTAGCTTTCAGAAGAATTATACAAGGTAACCAAAAATGTTCTTGCCATTTTGGACAGTCAGAAAGAAAAAGTCATAAAACAAATGATAATTACCGCTATTCCTCAAAATAATTACCATCAGCATCCAGTGTCTTTTGCCAATGAGTAGCTAGCTGAGTGATGCCATTGTGGTAAAACTCAAGAGTCTTGGATGCAAAGAATTCCATGAGGGCCTTTTTGAGGTTTGGCTAGTTGTTGAAGGATTTCACATGAATCAAAAAGGTGGTAGTCTATTGGCGCGAGATCTGGGGAGTGTGGTGGATGGGGTAATGTCTCCCAGCCCAGTCATTGGATGGTGTCCCTGGTTTCCCGAGCCACATGAGGCCACGCATTGTCATGGAGGAGGAGTACACCCTTAAGATTGACCAATGCTGGTTCTTATGGATCAGCACCTGACGCACACATTCCAACTACTGCGAATACAGGTCTGCTGTGATGGTTTGGCCCACTGGCAGGAGCTCATAGTGCACCACTTGGTGACTAGTCTAGCGGATACGAAGCGTATCTTGCGTGGGTGGAGAGAAAGTCTCGCAGTGTGAGCCACAGGGTCCTGTGGTGACAACCATTGTCTGTAACACCTGGGTGTATTATACTGGACCTATGTTTCATTACTGGTGAGTACTCAATCAAATATGGATGCATTATGGTGCCAAGAAAGCAATGACACGCTGTTGCCTGCTTGTATCGGATAGTGAGTGGGGTACCCACTTGCTGAGCTTGTATGCTTTTCTGATACGGTGCAAATGGAGTCTGATCATTTCATCAGATACCTGGAAGTGTGCACAAGCTCACCACATGTTTAGCTACTGTCACTCTCTAGGCCAGTGCTTATCGCCGACCACCGGATCACTAAGAGACATATCCCCCGACCTGAATTTCTCGAACCACTGCCTAGCAATTTGTTCATTAACAGCATCATCCCCAAAAGCCTGGCAAATTCAGCAACTTGATTCTGCTGCCAGGCCCACTTTAAAATCTTACAGCAAACAACTCCGAATCAGTGCCTTTGATGCACCCATTTCAATCAGTCGCTGTGAAAGTTATGTTTGAAGTACCCATGCAATGCGCTTTTATACTCTTGGTCAATGTCCGGACTATCATCCTAACCACTTCATCGCCAGGTCTGGCGTCTATTTTTATGTTGGGGGTCACCCTTCCAATTTCATATGAGAAACGGCAAGAACATTTTTGGTTACCTCGTATTAAGGAATTTTCTTACACTGCACCTCTGCGGGTGCCCCATTCCCAGTGAGCAGATTAAAATTCCTTGTGCCTTAGAACCAGACCAAATCTTTGGATGTTAAGCTTTATCTCTCAGAAACACCACGAAAGGTGTGCCTGAAACTAGTGAAACTACTAATCATGCCACCCACATGAATGGCTGAAGCCCCTACACTCTCAGGCAGCACAAGCTGCCCGTTTTGGGCTTTAGGAACCTGGCTTATGCATTTTATGCTGTTAGAGTCGAGACCATCAGAGTAGAATACTAAACCAAAATATATGATCACAGTGGGGGAAGTGACAGGGGATGCCTTCACAGAGGCATTCCGTCTCACTCTTCCTCCTTGAGGGAGCATCTATTTTCTTTAACAGAAATTGACTCATACTTATGTTGTGCCTGGAAAAGATGTTTGATTTCTAAACCATGCAGGCAGGCTGTTTACCTGGTATAAAGTTCAGGCTGAACTCCCAGTATTCAGTACAACTACTGAATACTGGATTTTTAAATGTAAAAATGCTCAAACAATGAATTCATGAAAGAATTAAAATAATTTAATTCCAACAATAAATCCTAAAATATAGGTGAATAGATTTAACAGAATATTTATGCAATTTCAGCTTGCTAATTCTTTTTTATCTTTAAGTATTTAAATATTCCATAAAAACTGCATGAATCTTTAATCAATACATTAAAACATGATACCAGTTTGGAAATAATAAACATATATGATTAAATAATGAATTTATTTCAACTGTAAAAGCTCGATGTATTTAAAGAAACAAGTTGCGGTACATTCTCATTGTCAGAAGTAAGCATAGTGACCCACTGCCTTAAGTATAATGCTTATTAAGTCCCACCACTTTTAGCAGGTAGTTCATGAGAATGCACTCACCTGTGCGTGTGAAGCTAATTGTTCATAGTTTATAAAACCATTACTAAATGAAGCAAACCATACATACTAAACACTATTATTCAATTAGAAATTAAATACATGAAATGCTTTACTTTGTTTATATGGTGTGAGCATTAAAATATAAGCATACAAAAATTTGCAAAAATTATAATGCATGCATCTGCAATATGATTGAAACAAAATAATGAAACACTACCCAAGTCAGAGCGGGAAAATATCTTTTCAAGAGCATGAATTTATACACATATGAGTATTATTTATTTTACATTATTAAAGGTATATCTTTAATATTGATTTTCATGCAGTACAATAGTTATAGTTATTGTAATAAAATACATGTCATTTAAAGCTTAAAAAAATACTTACTGCCTTTTGTTGATTATACATGGGTGTACTGGTTATAACTGGTGAATATCCCTGCATAAGTAGATAAAATTACAATAAGTATTTGGTTATCAAAGTATAAAAAAATTTATGCATTGCAACAATAATTTTTTTATATGCATATTAGTGGGTAAGCCCGCCAGAGGAGCGGACAGTGGCCAAAGCAAAACTTATATATTTTATGCCTACCTGAAAAGAAAATATATAAAAACATTTCAATATAAATGAAATGAGTTCATTCATTCCAAGCAGCATTCAATTCATAAAAAATTTTTTGTTGCCAAACCAGGAAACAAAATCTTTTGATACTTCATGTTAATATATAAGACATCATGATTTAATTTAATGTAATATAATAACTTTTATTGATATCAATAAAAGAATTAACAAGGCAATAACATATCATGTTAATTATCCTAACCCAAAACAAAAAAGCAGCTATTTATTTAAAATGCCCACATCAGCGAAAGATTTTCAAATTACAATGACGTCACATGCAATCACATGCTTTCTTCAATGTCAGAATATGACCTTATATAATAATAATAACATATTCAATGTTTGGCAATGCTACTTTTATTTCATATTTTGAAAAACATACAAAATTTTTATTAACAAACTCTATGATTTGAAAATGAGCAGTGGCAAAACTTTTTGAAATTAAGCAGATTTTTATCTCCAGTGTGCAAGACTGTTGCCACTGAGAAAAATGATCGCAAAAATTAGTGTTTTCAAAGTTTTTAATTAATATCTGTATGTATATCTGTTATGTACTTATTACACGATTTATTACAATGCTATTTTAGTTCATGCATCATTTGGTATGATTTGATGTGCTACAAAAGCCTATGGCTTAAAGCCAGAAAATGCTGAAAATATTTTCACATATAAATTAATGGTAACTGCTTTTAGCTTTACGCTATTTTGTTTCATGAAAGGTTTTCCAGGAGAAACTTAATTTTGTAATGTCAAATTACAGAATAAATATTCTTGCATTATTTTGTCATAAGATAAAACATTGATTAGAAGTATCGTATAGGTAACAGCAGCAAAAAAACAGTAATTACTAATTATTGAGAATATGTAAGGATCAAAGTAACTGCTTATAGTTACAACTAAATGCACAATTTAAAAAAATATTAGAAATTTCATCTTGCAAGTAGGATTGTATATCTATCATATAAAAATTCTGTCTCCAATGTAAAATATTATGCAGCACAGCTGCCAGCTTTGAAATATGAAAATTCAAGAGTTCCCCCCCTCCAAAAACTGAGAGCTTCTGGAAGGTATCTGTACTGTGTGGCAACATCATTCGATAAGATTTCCAATCTGACTTAAATTCACTTTATAATGCATTATTTAGGTTATTGAATTATTTATGACGTAATTTTGATGAAAATTATATTAATATTTAGTTAGATATTCTAAACTTTATGGTCTCTGACTAGTTTTATTTCACAATTTTCTTACATTTTTATATTGAGAAAAATCTTGAAAAAGAAAGAAAAGCCTTTATTAATCATAGTTCCTTTTAATATGATGAAAATAAAATAATTAATATGTAATTCAACTTAGTAATGTACCATTCGTGATCTAAAACAGTATTAAATACAAATATTAATTGATTTAACATTAATTGAAATTTTCCTAAAAAGTTCTCCAAATGTTTACAGTAGCTTAACACAGTTCAGATCAAATAAAATATTTTAAAAAATTGCATTGAAAGTCACTAAAGTAGAGGGAACGAAATTATCACAATTTAAGTTTTATTAATTCAGTAAATTTCATAGATTAGAAAATATATTCCTAAATAAAGGCTAAAATACAAATATTAATTGATTTAAAATAAACTGAATCTTCATAAAATGCTCTACAAATGTCTACAGTAGCTTAAGACAGTTCAGATCAAATAAAGTATGATAAGAAAAATTGTGTTTAAAATCACTATGGTGGAGGAACAAAATTAGCCCCATTTAAGTTTTATTAATTCAGTAAATTTGATATATTGCTAGAAAACATTTTCCTAAATAAAGGCTTTTAAAAAAAAAAAAGAGAGCAAGAATTAGCAGTCTGTGGGGAGATATGATAAAAAGCTGGGTTTTCCAGTAAAAAAGCCAGGAGAATTTTCTCCTATGAAGTAACACACATAGATGGTATATGCTAAAAGTCAAGGCCAATTCTGTAAAAAGGTTAGCTTTATAGCTTTATATATGTTCTTGGCCCTTTATATATGTTCTTGGCCATATTAACCACTGATTTATATACTTCTGTAATTGTGCATATCCATTTCACTTGTGTTCCTAATTCCCAACAGGTATGTTGTGTTATTTGTTCTCATGGTTGAACTAACCACTCTTTGCTATACTTAGTTTCTAATAAATTTGAACTTGAATTTTACCCAATTTCAAAAAAGAGTAGGAAGCTACATTAACTTTAGAATTTACACTGCATTGCCATTACACAGACTGCTTAGTAATTAAGTAAGTTTTCATCAAACATAAAAGAAAATTTTGAAACTAACAGATTGAAATTTCATTGAATATGAATAATAAATATATAAATAAAGGAAGTCCCAAGGAAAATTAATGATTTTTAACATATAACAAACAAATGAACAATTCATAGAAGTAAATTTCACTTTGTAAAATGTTTTACAGAAGTTTTAAGGAATTCAGATTGGGAATTAATAGAACCCTAGAACATACACTACTTTAGCAATATCAAAATTGCTTCACACTTACTTGAAATATTCCTATTTGTAAGCATAGGGAAAAAATACCTATGACAATATAAAAAAGTACTTTTTTTTTCCCAAGAACACATATTTAAAAAATAAAGGTTAAGTATAGTAATATTAACAATTTTAATTTTCAGTAGATATGGAGATTTGCCCTAATTTTTAAAGCAAAATGAATACATAAAATTTCTTTTCCACAAGAATTCTTGCAAATTCCATCAATCAATGAATTACACCATTATTAAAGGTACAAAATAAAAGTCTGATCAACAAATTTTGCGCAGTATGAATATATATAAAAAAATATGGAAAAACAAGCCTGACAGACATTGTAATATAATTTTAATAGATGCAAATAACTTTTTCCTCAAAATTAGGTCTAGATAGGAATTAATATGGAAAGAGTGTCTGAAAACTAGATGGGCTAGATTTTAGCAAAATTAAAGTAAAAAAGCCAGGAGAATTTTCTCCTATGAAGTAACACACATAGATGGTATATGCTAAAAGTCAAGGCCAATTCTGTAAAAAGGTTAGCTTTATAGCTTTATATATGTTCTTGGCCCTTTATACATGTTCTTGGCCATATTAACCACTGATTTATATACTTCTGTAATTGTGCATATCCATTTCACTTGTGTTCCTAATTCCCAACAGGTATGTTGTGTTATTTGTTCTCATGGTTGAACTAATCACTCTTTGCTATACTAAGTTTCTAATAAATTAGGTCTAGATAGGAATTAATATGGAAAGAGTGTCTGAAAACTAGATGGGCTAGATTTTAGCAAAATTAAAGTTTTAGAGATTATTTAATGCTTGATAAAAATTTGAATATGGTGGTACTGAAAAACATTACAATGTAATATATCTTCTAATGATAAAAAGAAAAGTGACACAGAACAGTAAACTGGCAACTTAATACTGACAAGAAATAGACTCCTGAACTTTTAAAATTTTTTAATTATATACAATTTAAAATTTACAACTAAAGAGAAAGACAATAAAATGAGCAATTAGAGTAAGTATAAATTATGAAAGTGACAAATATTTATTTTCTTACTCACCAAGGTAGCTATTTAATAGTAACAGCAAAATAATCAATACAAAAAAGATCTTATCTCTGAAATTTTTACTGTCCTTCCATTTAATATTGTGTACAACTTATTGGTGATTATGCAGTAGAGTATCTATGGTAGTGCTTGATCTGTTGATAGTTTGAATAAAATAATCTGTTGCCTGAAAAGTCTCTGGAACAGTTCAGAAATGAATGACAAAATGCAGAACCAGCTCCCAAGCACAGGTAACACAATGCATCAAGTTTTGAAAGGCATAAGCTCATAACTAAATAAAAGTATATTTCATTTTAAATAATTGATATGTTTAATTTATGTAAGGCATCAAATATCCTAAGCCAATGACATGGAACTCAAATTGCATGCATGATTTGAAAGCCACTGAAAAGCTTAAAATTTTTTACCCCCCCTCCAAAAAAAAAAACTGAATTTGAATTTCACTTCCTAAATATTTATTAAAACAAAATAAACACTGTTAATAATAATAACACAAGGAAAAAACTCAAATTCATAATTTTAAAGACAACATTAATTTCAAATAATTCAAGTTGGTATTTAATTTAGCAATTTAACCATTAAATAACTTATTTTTAGTTTAAACTCAAGCCTTTCAGAATTCCTGAAAACATTTCTAGGTGGAGCAAATTTGAGATCAAATGATAACAATCTACTCCTTTCATTATTAAATTTTGCTTTGACACGTACAGAGAAAATACACATGTTTTTATGTAAATGACTGTAAATTTCCTTATTTAAAAGTAATAGTATTCCTGCACGATAACAATCTGTCTTGGATATACAATATGAGATAGCACAATGCCAACACAGTTGCACATGAGAATTACCATAATCTCAACTACTGCAGTTCTAACAGACCTTTGATTTTTGTGGTGTCCATAATGGTGCCATTTGTTTAATTAGCACCTCAGTTTTTTTGGCTCGCATGGTTTGTCCAATAATGATAAATGTAAGAAAGCCTCTCCTTTGCACAAATGGCATTCCAGTGGATTTGAATAATATTGTATTGCAGCCATTTCAGCATGTCTGTCAAAAGGTAAGGGATTTATTGTAATGAAAATTTCTCTCGCCCATTCTTTCCAAATACAAAGTGTCTCTTGGAGGAATAAAACATCTGTTGTTGATCCCTTTTTAGCAATGCACAAGCAGCTTGCACTTGCTTTGATTGACTCTACAGCAATCCAAGTGTTCTTTCTAATTCCATAATTATACAAAAATAATATTATATTATAAATTATGCATGATAAAGTTCAATACAAAAAATCCGAATAGAAACATATATTTATCAATAAGAATAAAATACTTTACAACACCTATAGATGACATTGTATCATATTCCGCATTTTTAAATTTAGATGAAACGATCTTTTTAAGTTATCTGAAATAAAATATACATGGAAAAGTTACATTCTATTAAAAAAAAAAAAAAAAATAAACTAAAAATAAAAAAAAGTTAAAAAATACAGAACAGCTGACATTTCCTCAAACTTTCATAATTTATTTTAGTTTATTTATTAATCATTATTTAATTTCATATTTTCAATACCTCAGTTCATACTCTTTTTACAGAGAAAAAAAAATAAACACACTCTTCTTCTTCTTTATAAATCAATGTCTTAGCATGTGAATTGTGCAGAATAAAGTGTGCATGTTAGTAGTTTCATGCCCATGGAAATTTCTAGACACTGCGATGAAACTGGAAATTAGAAATTTCAGTTTCCATTAAATTCTCACTATGTTCTGAAAAGTCTAGTGTTATGATTTGCAGTTTGCATGCAAACATAAACATTAGCTTAAATTTGATAATACAAACACAGAATATGAAAGTAAGTGTTGTCACATGCCAGAGAGAAATTATAACATTCAAATCATATATGCCACTGTAGTACAAAACATGTAACTGTAAAGAACAGTAGCTAGTAGTCTAAAATAACACAATGCTTAAATGATATTGTGAAACCTTATTTCCGCTTATTAGCCCTCTCAGTGGTCCAGATTTTTGGATCTGTCATAAAGACCTGTATTTAAAGAGCCTTTATTAGCTACATATGGATATTTACCTATTTTAGTCTCTATTTTGATAAACCTACATTCATCAAAATGGCATTTATGTTATTAATGAAAGTAAGATAGCAAAATATCTTAAATTATAAGCTAATATATAACTAGTGACAAAAAAATCTCATGAGCGGATAATGTCAGTCATGGTGCTCTGAGGGTTAATAACTCATACATACATTATAAATCCTAGGTGGCAATAGGCTTCAAAATCTTTGAATTTTACAATATGCCAATGAAGCTGCACTAGAATTTCAAGTTGAAGATCATGAGATTGTTAACCCCTTCGAGCCGGGTAGCGCAAACGTGTGCTTATCGCGGAGGCCTGCAGTGTCTTATACGAGCGTCTGTCCAGGGCCAGGGGCTTTTTTGCTACTAAGCCTAAACCCATAAAATTTCCGAAGTATCAACGCATTGTTTAATAATGCTCTACAAAGTATTTAAACGGCTTATGCTTTATAGATATTTTTATACTATATACTTTAATTACCTTATTTCTTGTTTAAATGCATATTTTACACATTTTATTTTCATTACTCACCATTTTATGACTTTTAACATTATACATCTGAAAACTAAATATATTACCTAAAATTCTCTTTTCGTATGAAAAATTTGAAAACAGGGATCTACACACAGTCCTACGTTACATTCCTTGCACTCGTAATAACTCATTTGTCGTTTTGAGGATTTTTCCGGGAATGTGAACAAACGAAGCATCGTCGTCTCATTTTCTTATCAGTCCTCTTCTAAACAAATTTGGAAAATGTCTTTCAGTTATTCTTTCAGAATCAATATCAGAATATCATAATCAATATCTGAAATATTTTGCATCATTTCTGCTATTTCATGCTCTGTTAAACACTTTCGACGCTTCGACATTGCAACGGTAAAAACAGAAAGAATTCACGTCCAACAAGATCTAATTATTTTCTAAAAACTGAACTGCAGACCGAAATACCCAACGCTTTAGCGCAAATAAAACTTCTCTACTTAAATAAACAACTACCACATGCGAATAAAGTGCGATTTAAAGAGACGTCATAAATCACGCCATTCGGAAACATTTATTTCCCCTTTTGTTTTATATAATCAAAAACACGTGTATGTGAGTCATGCTTCTCTCATTTCGAGTAGAAGGTCTAATGTACATGTATCTGAAACCATATGGACATACAGTGCCATCTTGTGGCAGAAATTATAGTTTGAAAAACGTTCCAGGACACTGGCACAAATACGTGACAGTCGGTAGTGAACGGGAAAATGCTCTGGCACGCCTGCGTGTCGGCCGGGAAGTGAGTGCGTTCGTTGCTGGCACGTAGTCAGTGTAGTAGTCGTGACAGTCGGCGCGAAGGGGTTAAAGTTCTGAGGTAACAAACCAGGATGCATCAGCTTAAATGAAACATGAAACCTTTGTGGATTTTGAAGGAAAGGATAGTAGATCGTCAGATGGACACCAGCAATGCATTTGGTAAATAAATGCTGTTTCATAACTGCACCAATACAAATCTTGGCTTTGTATGCCACAAAATTTAAAAGGTTTTATAATTACGGCTGGCATCCACGTTGGATGCCTACTATAAATGTAAATATAAACAGGATCACTTTGATCACAGGATTTGTATTTCTGTTTTAAAGATTTCTTATTTGCATAGAACTATTACTTGGTCGCAAATCTCTAACAAGATCATGAGGCTGTAGATGATGATGGTGTTATATGTTATTTTAACAAGACATTAGCTAACCTTGGAACAGCAATTAGTTGTTTAATGAAAGCTCAGCTACTGAAATACTAACTTTATTTTTGGTTAGTATTTCAACAAACAATTTGTTCTTTATGCTAATTAAAAAACAATTTGTTACTATATTTCCGTCCGGACCAGTGCTAAGCATTTTGTCTCCTGCATGTCCTAGATTCTGCTGCCCTGTGCCTCCATAAATTTTAAAATTTTTGCTGCACTAAATTCAGTTACTCAGTTACTTTCTTAAATTCTGAAAACTTTGCCATCCCAAAATTTTGCTGGACATTGTTTGTTTAATCCTAAAAAATTTGCCACTCCTAAAATCTGCCACACTAGCTCTGGCACAGGTCTTGATTTAAGCAAAGAACATTTTGTTGTTAAATGAAATGCTAATTAAAAATGAAGGAAACAGTTTCTATCACAAATTTTAAGGCTAATACAAAAGCTAGCTACTACTTGATTTTCATGGCCCCCATTATCAATACGGCACCAAGATTATAGCCAAGTTCAAACTACTTTACTTTATAGTTTGTGGCTGCCATATCTCTGCAACTGATTTTAATAAGGCATCAAAAGGCTTATCTTTACCAAAGGATTTCCGCCACACGAAGTTAGAAAGGTATGACTGTAGATGATGTTGAGCCACATCCCTTTGCTTTTTGTTTTGCCAATTTAACACAGCCACACAACCTTTACATATTTTGGGTGAGAACCGATTGTTGGATTAAAAAATTTAAATGCATCATTCACAGTCAGATGGCTGCAGCCAGCCTTTTCAAGTTCATCTGTTTTATAAGCTTACTAGCAAAAGGAATATATTGTTGATCCTTCGGCTACGTGATACCCTTCCAATAACCATCAATATCAGTGCTTGCTTTCCGATTTGGAACCTGAACAAGAAAGCATTTGCCACTTTTAGGAGATAGCCTGCTGAATATCCACTGTTGTAGAAATAACCTGCCAGCATTTTTTTTTTTTTTTCCCTGCACACACACTCTTGTCAATTTCAAGTATTTTTCCAGAACCATTTATTTTCCCTCTAGATTATTGAATTAAATCTAGTGAACAAATAACTCTTATAAAATTGCTCCAGTCAGTTGTGGTATTCTAACAGAAGCTGAACTGTTTATCACACCAGGACTTTTCCGTATATAAAACGGGCCATCCTGCTGTGTAACACACTGAAAAATCTATTAGATAAGCAGGCATAAGAGTCCAATAGAATGTCTACTCTTATGCAGATGACTCTGGCATGAAAACTTATAACTAATCTAAATCGGCAAAATGTTCTTCAAACAAATAAAAGGTGAGCACTGCTACATTTGTAAGATACAATGTGTTCATTTTAATTATGTGCATAAATGTACAATTACACATGACATTTATCTTCTTCCAAAATAACTGAAACCAGAGTAACATGGGGAATCCAAGCTATTTCATAATTATATGAGTTTTGTTTAACCTGATTCCTTTTTTACACCAGAAATATGGTCATGTGATCTAATACTGTAACTTGCTTTGTTCTTTTGTTCAGAACTTCAATGTACAAACATCTTTAGATTTTTTTAAAAAATAAATACATAAGATAAACATCGGTGAATTAAAAGAAGGTAAATAGTTTACTATCGCAACTCTGGAGATGTGACAGACCACAAATGATAACTGCTGCACAAACGCACTAAGGTTTGTATTGATTATTCAATTACTTGTACGCAAACAATGTCTAGAAAAAATTACTTTTCATTCCTTTAGGTGAAAATCTCAAATAAATAATATAACAGTAATTTCTTACCTATTTTACATTGATATTTCTCACACTTTACATCATTTTTAGGTTTGAAGCATGGGGCTGAGACAGTGCATAATAATTTATTGGAGTCTGATAATACTTCTAGAGAATGGAGCAACTTTTTATCTGTGCGTGATGCATTAAAAGCAGATTTTATTGCCACAAAATTTGCATGAGGCTGAAAGAAGAAATAATTAAATAAAAAGCACATATATATTTGGAGAGTGGGGTAGAAATATACACAATTTTAATATAAAATGCAAATATTTCCACCAGACGTTTACACTTTAAATAAATTTCAAAAAATAAATAAGCATGTGTTTATTTTTAAAGATACAATTTTACTGCTTTGGAAGTATTTCTTTTCATCAGTTTTCGTCAAATATGATGAAAACAAATACTCACAAAGATAACTATGGGACTTTGGGGGGGGGGGCATTTCCAATGTCGCATAAAGATTTTTATTTCAAAGAATCAATTTCGCTGTATGATGATATTTTAAAATTATTTTCCTAAAATTTCTAAATTAAATAATTTGATAAAAGATTGTTTTCCTCTGGAGCATTCTAAAAAAAGCAACTTAATAAAAAAGCATTAAGAGTTTTATTTCTAAAATTTCTAGCTTAATAATAAAAACACATAAAACCAGAGCAGGAAAGACAAAGAAAAATTTTACATATTTACAGATATTTTATAATAAAATTTTTATAATATTACAGATATTTATATAATTTTTACATATTTACAGATATCAACAAATCAAAGATGGTGCAAGTGCTTAAGATAAGATTTCCTCTTATATGTTCAAAACATCAGAATGACTAAGCTGTAATCTTTTGAATAAATCAAAAGCATCAGACTTTTTAATGTTAAAAATGGATTTTTTTAATGTATATTTTGTAAACCCAATTTTTCTTAAGAATTTATAACTTAAATCATTACTAATATGTGCAGCCATTAGTTGTATTAATTTGTTAAAATTTCTTATGCTATGCACTTAAATCTACCCTGCATTAGATACACAGATATACAGTCTTTTCTGGAAAACAAGCTGTAAAGAAACACAGAAACGAAATACGCAGATCTATAGCCATCCACATATTTATAATATTTTATTGTTGTTCTTATAAGCCTTGGCCAGAAAGGCAAACAATTCTAAATAAGAAATTATGAGTTGTTTCCTTTTATTTTTATTTTGACAGCTCATTCAATAATTACAACAGGGTTAAGTCCTAAGCTCGAAAATCCTCCTTTACCCTCATAAAAATGAGAATTTGTTTACGAGATTTCTTACAGCTTGTTTTCCAGTCTCCTCTCCCCCAAAAAATGTCTATCTAATGCGGTGTCAATTAAGTTTATAAGGTATAAAAAATTTTATTATTACATAAATACATCTGGAATGGCTACACATATTAATAATTATTTAAGCTATAAATTCTGAAGAAAAATTGTACTTAAAAAGTGTAAAGTATAAAATTCCTTTTAAATTAAAAAATTTGATTCTTTTAATTTTCTTTTTTAAATCACAACTTATGCATTTTGCTGTATACACGGGAGGAAAGTTTATTTTAAACAGGCAAAATCTTTGATTTGTAATAGCTGTAAATAAAATCAGAGTCTATATACTTTTCTTGTAAAAATTTCATAGCCTTTTACATTGCTCTCATAAATTAATAAATGGTTTAAGATATGCTTTTTATGATCATACAAAATTTTGTTTATGATGAATAAATTTGGGAGAGCTATAGATCTGAATTAAAAACAGGATTAAGTTACCTGTTTAAAACCACTAATAACTCACACACATATAAATTGATGCAGATACATTCTAAATCACGGGTTCCCAACCCTATGCCTGCGGGTACCATGGCGCACACCGATCATTTAACGTGTGCCCACCGCTGTGCGATTGCAAAAAAATTGTTTTAGTTTTCAATAAAATTATATGTGAAAATTTTCTCGTTTTTAATGAAATAGAAATTGCGTCCAAAACAGATACCAGCACAAAATGAAAAGCGACTGATCTCTTTTTTTTATGTGCATGTATTATTAACTCTATCAAACTACAAATTCACAGAGAAAAAGTAAATGGTGTCCGCCATCCAACAGATATTCTAGGATGTGTTCTTAGGGGGGGAAAAGATTGGAGACCCCCGTTCTAAATGAAGATATGTATGTATATACATTAAAAATTTAGAATAAAGATTTTTTATCTTTAAAGGTTGACAAGCCAAGAAAACAAAGGAACAAAAAAGAATCTTCCATTAATTAAATGATTTTCTTTTATTCTTTTTGTTCTTTGCCTTCTAGGTTCTAAGGTTATCAAGTAGGAAGGATAAAATATTTATGTTGTAAATTTTCTGGCTACATTATTTACAGCAGCATTTAACATACAATCAATGGAAATTTTTTTTTAAATTCAAACATATTATTAAATAAACATATAGACAAAAAGAAAGTATTTTTTTTTTAAGATGTAATATGTTTTATTTAAATATACTGTTTCTAAATTCAGAACACTAATAAGGAAAACTACTGGCCAAAGAATAGACAAAAATTAATCATTTAAAAATAATCCCCAGTTCCCTAATCTAATGATATATAAGATTTAGAATTTGTATCATAAAAAAAGATAAATGATTACCATCCCAGTTCGAGAAGCAACATTTCCTTGGGAAGAAGTTATGCTCTCTTCAGATGCTAAATATGACTGAAAAATGAGGTAAATATTAAATGCTATTCAAAAACTAAACATAATCTCAGTATCTGAAAATAATTCATACTTATACAAAGTTATTTGTAAGCATGTGAAAACATTTTAAAATTTCATGACAAGCTATACAACTAACACCAAATATTATACATTAAAATACAGGAATATATATTTGTTTCATGTCATGAATGACTTATATGACGAATTTCTTACAGCTAACTTAAAATGATTTCATAAAATTCTAATGGCTCTTTTATGCCTGAAGATATTTTAGGTCCTGCGGCTCTTTTGCTGCATATAAACAGTATTTTTTGGAGTACATCTTCTGATTCTGCACAATCTATTCATTCCAAATTTTGTGTCTCTTCTACAAAATCAATGTTGCTTTCCCATTCACTATTGATTGCCCTGATTTTTTGTCTCTTACATTTCTTACTTTATCGCTATCTTCTTCACTGCTTTTCTCCACTCTGTCATCAAATAGTCTATGCATAGGCATAATTTTATTCTTCATCAATGAAAAATTGAAGTCACCTTCACTTGAACTGATCCCTTCATCGTATTTCATGCTCTTTAGGCTCTGTAGCTTTGAAAATAATATTCCTATTGCCACGCTTGTCGAGTTCAAACTAGAACTAATGTCGAAGACGCATATATAACAATATATCTAAAAGAAATATTTAAAATTAAAGATTGGAAATTGTTTTATATGCATGTATTTTTGAATACACTCATGAAGCAATATTGCGCAAACCAAACTTAAATAAATATTATTACCCCTTGAATTATCATGTCGAACCTACAGTCAGCTCTGGAGTTACTGTATCAAATCGAGTGGTGAGCGATAGTCATTTCTTGAGTGCAAAAGATTAATAATAGTCCTATGTGTTTTTGGTGAAGGCTATAAAATAGTATATGTTTTTGAGTTATTGCTTGACTGATACTGCATTTAATCTGTTCTCATAAGTTCTCTTAAGATTATCATCAGCTATTAGCATACACCAAATTTCAACCAAATTGGATGAGCCATATTTTAGGATCTTGTCGAACATAACAATAATAGGATTAACAGCTGTACCAAGAGTTTTACTTTTTTTTTAGTAATCATATTATTCATCATTTTCGACACTCCTTTGTCATCAATGTTAATTTCATGTTTTAATAAAAATGTTTATTAAACAAACAGATATCGAGCATTTTATTTTGACAATTTTGATTTCTTTAATGTTATAAATACTTCATTATTTCCTATTTTTAATTTTATAATTTTTACATGTCATCTTACTAAATTTAAACTGAAGATCTAACATCCGGAATCGCCAGTCTCAATGAGTTTAGATCTCAAAATTTGTACTATATGAAAAAATTAATAAATATTAATATTTGATATAACATTTTAAATACTATTACAGTCAAATACCGAAAATCCGCCAAATCCTGAAATCCGCGTTGCCTCTCAGAATAAAAACATTCAGTTTATAGGTTCCGGAAACCGCAACATTGAGTACGAAATATCGAAGAAAAAAATACTTACTGAATAATGACGTCATAATTACCGAGTAATAATGAGTCAAAATGGAAATACCAAATTATTGACATAAAAAAGTTAAAAAAAATAAGATAAGTTTTTTCCCTCTAATCTGCATTGAGGTAAAAAAGCAGACAATTCACTCAACTCTTTGTTCAAGTTCACGATTCACGTTGTTGTATATTCTGAGCTTTGTTATTTCATTTCATGAGATTGTTTAGTGCTGCCTTTTTTTTTATCCAGATATTTTGTGGATTAAATTAAGAATATTTTTAATTTCAGCTCTTTTTAATACAATTGACAGATAAGAAACGCACTCATGATTTTACTGCTTGCAACGTTGAAAAACGTAAACACGCGTTGCATTGACGGTAACGCAAAAAGGTGCAAATTCTGCAAAAGATGGAAGCAGGTGCTACTCCTCGATTTATAGCAGAATGGTATGGAATTGCGACACGATTGTGTACGATATATACGGAAAAATAAAGAAAGGCTGTTGAAATTTTACAGCAACGGTGATTCTAACAACGAAATCCCAAACCGGAAATCTTTGCATGAAGCGAAATCGGCAAACCGTTCGATGCTATGTACATATAATACAATGAATAATATAATCAATTTATGTATGTAATAATAATTTAATGCATATAATAAATTATTGCAATAATGTATATAATAATTTTAATTAAATGTATCTAATACGTCTTATTCATTTTGCCCTTTTAGTCCGAATATTATGCTTTATCTTTTCTGTCCTGAAATCCGCAAAACCTCTGGTCCCAAGCTTTGCGGATTTCTGGAATTTTACTGTATTAGTTTTTATTAGTTGCTGC